AGGCTTTGTCAGTTTGTGTTTATCTTTTATTTTTAAAGTGGCTTAAGAATGTTTGTGTTAGCCGGGCGTTGGTGGCGCACGCCTTTAATCCCAGCACTCGGGAGGCAGAGGCAGGTGGATCTCTGTGAGTTCGAGGCCAGCCTGGTCTACAGGGTGAGTTCCAGAACAGCCTCCAAAGCCACAGAGAAACCCTGTCTCGAAAAACCAAAAAAAAAAAAAAAGAACGTTTGTGTTGTGTTGGTTTTTAATTTTTTTTACTGTCAGATTTGATCTTTTCCCTTGAGAATATTTCCTATCACTTCCTAAACTCAGAAAACTAGTCCTTGATAGAAGCTTGGTCCCCATTCATCACAGTTTTATAACTTGCTTTTTTATGTTTAACTCTTCAATCCCACTGCCACCTATTTTAGTTTATTACAGGAGATGAGAATATAAATGCTACAAGGTGTCACAGCATGATTCAATGAACAGCCCTTTCTATTCTTACAATGTATCCTTTTGTATCACTTTCTCCAATGCAAATTAGATCAAGAAATTATTGCTCTAGTCATTGTGTATTCACTTGTAACCTTAGCTCTCAGGAGGTTGAGGCAGGAGGATCATAAGTTTTAGGGCAGCTTTTGCTATACAGTGGGATCCCGTGTCAAAAAATAAAAGAACTGTTTGTGTCATAGCAGTAATACAAGTACATTTATCAGTAGGTGTTGATCCCCATTAAAACTCCTGTTCTACATGGAGTCTTAAGTAATAATTGAATATTTTGTCTTAACATTCTTCATTCTTCCACATATGATTAAGCACTGATCACGAGCACAAGGACAAAGTGGAAACAACTGCATCCTGCACAGCTTTGATTACTCTCTATTTTCATTTATTGAGACAGCGTCTCTCGAACCCAGAGATCATTGATTCTGGCTAGTCTAAACTACCCAGCTTGCCCTAGGAATCCATTCCTGCATCTCCGCCTCTTTAGCACTGGGGTTACTGGAAGTCACCATAGTTGCCCAGCTTTTCTCAAGGTCTGTGGATCTGAACTCTGTTCTCATGCTTGCACACCAAGCTCTTCACCTGCTGAGTTCTCTCTCCAGACCTCCTTCCCATCCTTAGTTTTCCATCTGTGACCTCCATACTGCTTCTTAGCTATACATTCCTACCCCATCCAGGCTTTATTCAAAATAGACCACAATCTCACAGTTCTTAAAGCTTCCTTCTCCAAATCACGGAGAAACTACGTCCATATCAGATTGTTAAGAGATGGGAAGAAAAAGTGAATGGCCCTTAAAAATGACCTTTTAAAAAATTATGGAGGCATACTTTATAGACTATAATTTGCAAGTGGTCATTTCGTCATGGAAAACATTAGTATAGATTTATTAATTATTAAGGAGATTCCAGTAGAAATGCCTCTTTGAAATCAAAGTAAAGCACATCATAAAATGCATGCATAAAATACTAAATAGTGTGTCCAGACAAGATTGATCACCTTAAATGTACATATAGGCTTTAGCACATATAAAGAAGAAATACCAGGTCAGGAATGTAACCACTTGCTTAGCATGCATGAGGTCCTAAGTTCAATTCCCAGGACTGAAGCTTTCACAGTTCAGTTGGTAGAGTGTTTGTTTAGCATCCAGAAAGCCCTGTGTTTGACCCTCTGCACTGCAGAAACCAGACATGCTGGTACATCCCTGTAACACTTGCACTGAGGTAGAGGCATGGGGCTCAGTAGTTCTTGGCTACAAAGAGAGCTTGAGACCAGAAAAAATAAAATGAGCATAAGATAGATTTTGCCAGGTGGTGGGAGGCCATGCCTTTAAAGTCCAGCACTTGGGAGGTAGAGGCAGGTGGATCTCCAAGTTTGAGGCCAGCCTGTCTGGTCTACAGAGGGAGTTTCAGAACAGCCAGGGATATACAGAGAAGGGAAAATGAAGGAGGAGGAGGAGGAGGAGGAGGAGGAGGAGGAGGAGGAGGAGGAGGAGGAGGAGGAAGAGGAAGAGGAAGAGGAAGAGGAGGAGCAGGAGGAGGAGGAGGAGGAAAAAAAGGAAAAGAAAAGAGAAAGAGGCCATAACAGTTGACTGCCAGCAGGTGGCACCTGACCTACAGCAAAGTATGGAAGAGAAACAAGTACTGTAATCAAAGAAATGCTACTATCAGTAAAAGTGTCCTCCACACAGAAGGCTGTAACTGCGGATATTTAAGGAGCTGACGTAAGGCATCAGCTCCAATGACAGTTTGTTCACCTGTCTGTGGTGGGAAAGGAATGATGGCCCTCCCCCGCCCCTTCTAGGTTCTTGGTTTAACTATGAGTTAGCATAAAAATTGATTAACCAGAGAAAAATCATTTTACTCATTTTCCTATATAAATCAGAACCTTATTATTATTGAGACTGAAGCAGCCCAGATGACGGAAGATTACATTGCATTCTGAGCTACTGAATAAGGAGTTTCTGGAGGGGATGGTGGAGATATATGACAGGGGCTAAAGGAAGAAAATGCATGGCAAGTAATAAAAATGCCGTAGAGCCCCTCTTTTCCTCCTAGGTACTGTTGCTGTGTGCTCTGCCCCATTGCCAAAAGGCCTGAGTCTTGTGTACCAACTGACTCACTGGACTTGGCCAGCTTGCCTATGCTGACAATGAGAGAAAATGAAAAACAGGAAAGATTTAGTCGTAGCTCAGCCTAACTAGGCCACTAGCGTGGACTTTCCCATTGCACCTTTTACGATCCATTAAACTTAGACAGAATTGGTCTCTTTGAGGGCCATGCTATCTTATGCCAGGGTTTTCAGTATTCTAGCCCTGTGCACCTAATGTTTTGTAGCACAAGTCCTTTTGTATAACTCTTTTTCAGGATATTCTAAAATCACTCTTATTTAACTTTCAAATGCAGCGATTTACTGTATCATCCCCAAGATATCAATTTCTTGATGGCAGGATTGACTGATTTCCTTAGAATAGAATTCTAAGAGTACTGTTACTGAGTCAACAAGTATGAACGTATTTCCCACTTTCAACACTACCAAAGTTTTCAAGAAGCCAGTTGCAACAGAACCCTGGCAGCACCTGAATAATTTCAAAACAAAGATTTTTCCCCCTACCTCCAGTTACTAAGGATAAAAAAATGTGCTTGCCATACAGTGTTTAATCAATGCTGGTTTAAGGAATGAATGGGATGGATTAATCTGTGTGTGTATCTGGGAGGTTTAAACAGATAGTATGATTGCAATGAAGAGAAAAGGACATGGAAACCTGACAGACAGCTTAGGTCAGGGACCCCTAAAGCAGCAGTTCCAGGAATGGAATGTCCAAACGCTAGAGGGGAGCTCTGGTTTCTTATCTCCTCCCAAATGAGTGCCCTTGCCTACATGTACATGTGAGCAGAACTCCAGTCCAGACACCCAGGAGCTTCTGGTTAGACAGAGATGCAACTGGACCTCTGGATTTTCATGATGGAAACGGGGTCTATTCAGTCCCCAATTTCAGCCTTATCTCCTAAATGATGTCAGGGTTAGGGTATCTGATGGAGATAAGAAACCAGAATCTAAACTGTATCTCAGGCTCTGGGTGGACATTTAACAGTCCAAGCTACCAGAACAGAAGAGTTAATTAAACAAAGCCAAAATCCCTCCTAAAGGCATGCTAAATAAATGGGAGAAACAATTTACACCCTTAATGGGAGGAGGTACTTTTATTTTTCCTTCCCAGAAACCCCACCCTCCCATCCCCCTTGGGTGTAGTTGCTCTTGGAGCCTTGGCTGGGTTAAGCCTTCTTGCTTTTACAAATCACTTAGAAAAGTATAACTTTTCATTTCTCTCTCTCTCTCTGTCTCTCTCTCTCTCTCTGTGTGTGTGTGTGTGTGTGTGTGTGTGTGTGTGTGTGTGTGTGTGTGTGTGTGTCCACAAATACTCTGGGCTTTCTTACTCTTTTTCTCTGAAGTTATTCCTACCCTTGAGTCCCAACCCCTCATTTCTGCCATGTAGTGGCTCACAAAAGGTATGATTTTTCTCTCCCTCTTTTTCATGCTCCCTGGCAGCTACCAAGATTTATAGCTTGCCTGCCCTAAGGGTTTTCTTTTAAAGACTAATAAAATTGCCATTGTCCTTGAGCTTCATGCTGAGTATACCTTTTTTTTTTTTAAGATAGACTCCTCACTATGCAGTCCTAGCAGGACTATAACTAAGAGGTCTGCCCACCTCTGTCCCCTGAGTGCTGGGATTAAAAGCATGTGCCACTATGCCTAGACTGTTCTTAAATTCTTTAATTAATGGGACTAAAAACCCAAGAAGAGGCTCCAATTTGCCCAGTAACATGTGATACTTCAGGTTGGGTTCCCCCAAACTTCCATTAACAGTAATAGGTAGTGCCTAACTTCGTGTAAGCTTATAAGCCTGTAGCCCTACTTCAGAGGGGTCCTAGAGGTGTCAATCCCCAGAAACTTTGCAGACGGGATCAGCTGAAAGCTGCCTTAAACAGGTAATGATATGTGAGTATCTTCATACCTGCATGCAGCCAGCCAGCCACGACTGACTCCGCTGTAATGTACAGCCTTTGTCAGAAACACAGTGGTAAGAAGTGGCAAGGTGTAAACTGACCCAAGCCCTAGCAGGCAGGCCTTCTGCAGCAAAGGGAAACATGGAAAATACCAGCACACTTGCCAGAGCAGGCCTTCTTGATGAAACCACGGGGCTTTACCCCCTAAGCCTAAAGGACAGCGATGTCCTAGGTGCAGAGAATCTTACTCTTCTTTTGCGATTCTTTGGTTTTAATAAGAAAAGATCTTGCTTCAATTTTGAACTAAAAAAAAAACTAACAAAAGCAAGCTGTTCTCTGTGTTTAAGACCATATGAAATCATTACTAAAACATCAGTTTTCTATTGTCTAGGTAGTAGATTATAGTTCTTTAGTTTTACAAGAACTTCTTTGGTCAGGAAATCTGTCCATTTGGAAAAGAATACCATACTTATGTAATTTGCATATGATAAAATTGTGGTGTCTTTCAGTTTGAAAGAATCAAATGCTGGTTTCTTTTGACTGACGATCAATGTCTTGGTTGGCTGCACCCGCTGATTTGTGAATGATACACTGGCAGTTACTAAGACATCTGCTTTCTTTCACCCAGACGGCACACTGGTAAGTTCAGTTGTGAAATTCCCCATCCCTAGCAGGTATTAAGAACTACTAACACAGCAAACAAGATGCCAGATGTGGAAGAAGGCCTTGTAGTTCTTGTCAAACAGAGTAGGAAGTTACACACAACAAACACAAAATTCTAAAAGGCTTTTTATTTTTCTCTAAGCAAGCAGCACCTAAGAAGAGTCATTTTCCTTGGGCATGGTAGTATAAGACTCCTAGATTATTTTGAGGCCTTTTGTTCTATGTCTATTCTCATCAATTATCTACATATTCAAAATAACATTTCTTACTTCTGTCAAGTATTAGCTCTGAAATGCACCTCTCCCAAGACTTCCAGGATTAATTTCTCCCTACTGCCAACCTACTCATATTACATACTACACATATTCCCTTAGTATCATAATTTTTTTTTGGTTTTTTTGAGACAGGGTTTCTCTGTATTGTTTTAGAGGCTGTCCTGGAACTAGTTCTGTAGACCAAGCTGGCCTCGAACTCACAGAGATCCACCTGCCTCTGCCTCCCGAGTGCTGGGATTAAAGGCATGAGCCACCAACGCCCGGCTAGTATCATAAGTTATATTATCTTCTAACTACTACAATTCTGTTCCTGTTTCTAGAGTCAGGTCCTGGAGATAGGGAATTTCCAAAGAATGTGTAGGTTAGCTAATTACATCCATTTTTCTGTCCCTTCGCTGATGAAGAAACTGGGGCCTAGGGAGGTCTGGTCAAGATTGCAGAAAAACAAGACACACAGCCCAGCTGTCTTAACTTTCAATTGAGTGCTGTCTACTATACAAGGTCGTCCATGTTACTTGCATGCTTTCAGAACACCATATAAAGTGCGAGGTACATACATGCTTCCCTGAAGTGTCAGTATAACAAGTGTACACGTTTACATAACTGAGAGATTGACCAAGGGAAGAGTTAGAAAGCAGAAAGATCTTTTCCTTACTTCTTTGCGTGATGCCACCCTCCGGACCAGTTAATCGCTATTTTACACTTCCCGTCAATCAGACACTGGGCAGCTGTGATGGTCGCTCCTGCTATAGCTGCTGCATAGTCAAATATCCCTTCTGTGGCTGGGCAGTCATAACCTGGGGGCAGAAAGGAGAACAGGCTAAGCTGTGACAATAGCAGGGTCTAAGAAGCTTTCAGAGTAAAATCAACTCCAATGGAGACAGATACATCGCCACTGTTCGTCAAGGAAGGCTTTAAAAATATTAGAGCTAGAAAAGATAAAGCCTGAAAGATGAAAAAAAAGTTGTTTAAAAAAATAAAAAAAGATTAACTTCTCATAACCCACGAGCAATCAGCTGAAGCCCAGAGGTGATGTATTTGGCCAGTAGTCATATAGAGCCAGGTCTGGAACCAGTCTTTTTTTTTTTTTTTTGGTTTTACGAGACAGGGTTTCTCTGTTTTGGAGGCTGTCGGTCCAACCTGGCCTCGAACTCACAGAGATCCGCCTGCCTCTGCCTCCCGAGTGCTGGGATTAAAGGCGTGCGCCACCACCGCCCTGCTGGGACCAGTCTTTTGATTGCCAATCTAGTGTCTTTCTATTAACTCATGCAGTTTCCCTAGAACAGGGAAGCCTAGCCTCAACTTTGACATCACAGTATGTTGCTGTCACCTACAAATGTGTTGGGCCCCATTCATAGCTATCTTGGGAGGCATGTAGCCCGTAAGCTGCAAGTTGGACACACCTCCTTTAGACTGTGCTGTTGACAATTCACTATGGTTTTTTAATGCATCTATCTGTTGATGAAGGATAAGGCAGGAAACTTAGCCAGAATTTATTCTTTAGTATTTATTTGTTTGTTTGTTTTTTGGCTTTTTTATTTTAATTTTTAAATTTAAATTAGAAACAAGGTTGCTTCACATGTCAATTCCAGGTCCCTCTCCCTTTCCCTCCCCTCCTCCCACGCCCTCCCCCCAACCCCCTCCCCATTATCCCCTCATTTCCCCAGGGAGGGTGAGGCCCTCCATGGGGGTGTCCATAGTCTGTCATTTCATCCAGGGCAGGGCCTAGACCCTCCCCCAAGAGTCCAGGGTGAGAGTGCATCTCTCATTGTTGGATGGGCACCTTTTTGAGACAGGGTTTCTCTGTAACTTTGGAGCCAGTCTGGAACTCGCTCTGTAGACCAGCCTGGTCTTGAACTCAGAGATCTGCCTGCCTCTGTCTCCTGAGTGCTGGGAATAAAGGCACGTGCCACCACTGCCTGGCTCAGAATTTAGATATTTACATAATGCCATCCATGGTGACATGCAGTTTTAATCCCAGCACTTGGAAGGCCGAGGCATGTGAGTTCCAGGCCAGCCAGAGCTATACAGTGAGACCCTGTCTCGAAAAATATAAAAGAGACTCAAACCAAATAAATCTATACTTAAGATATATGATTACAGGACAGCTACACTGGCATATATATAGCCAAAGTAGACCTAAGTGCTGCCATTAGAATCTCAACATCAAACGGACTCTTCTCCATCGGACTCATCATTCAGTTGTGTTCAACTCAGTGTACACAGTATGACTAAACTGAGGGATTAAAATGAACAGTTGGGGCTAAAGATGTAGCTGAGGTAGAGGCCTGGCTAGCATATTCCAGGCCCTGGGTTCCATCACACACACGCACAGAGACACAGAGACACACACACAGATGCACAGACACACACACACACACTGACCAGTTATATTATTTCATAATTTAAAAGTATTGGGCCTGAGAGATGGCCGGTAGTTAAAAGCACTTATTGCTCTTCCAGAGGAGCTGGGTTCAATTTCCAGAATCCACACGGCATCTCCCAACCATCTATAACTTCAGTTCCAAGAGATCTAAGGCCTCTTACGACCTACACAAGTATGGTATGCACGTAGTGCACATACATACACTCAGGCACACATAAAATAAAGATAAAATGCCTGGCACACAAGGATGAGAGTTCGGATTCCTAGCACCCACGGAAAAGCTAATAGAGGAGGCATGAATGTGTAACCCGAGCACTGGAGGAGTGGGGACAAGTAGATTCTTAGAGATCACTGACCATCCAACCTAGTCAAAATGGTGAGGTTCAAGTTCAGTGAGACACTCAAAAAATAAGGTGGGGAGTGATAAAAGAAGACAGGCAGAGTCAGGTAGTGGTGGTGCACACCTTTAATCCCAGCACTCATGAGCAGAGGTAGGAGGATCTCTCTGAGTTCCAGTCCAGCCTGGGGTACAGAGTGAGTTCCAGAACAGCCAGGGCTACACAGAAAAATCCTGTCTCAAAAAACAAAAACAAACAAAAAAGAAGACACCAAGTGCTGACCTTTGGTTCTACATGTGTACCAGCAGACACATGCATACCACCACACACAAGCATACATACATATAACATACATACACACAGAGAGAGACAAATTAAGTAACAATGTACAGGTGAGGTCTATTGATCTTTCATTGCTGTCTGAGAGAACCTTACCTAGTCCATATTCTATGGAGTCTGGATGGTCCTCATCACCTTCTTGGCTGACCTTCTGGAGATGTTGCAGATAGGCATCAGTGTGGAAGGAGGCCATCTCCTCCATGGAGGCTACTTTGGGCTTCACAATCCTAATAACAGAGCGAACATAAAGAAGTGAGTCAGACCCAGAGTATGCAAGGTGCTGGAAAGAGCAGCCAACACCCTGAAGAGAAAAGACAACTCCCAGCTTCTGGTTCCAGTGAGCTGAAGTCATCATCACAATCCCTCCATTGTACTGGGCAGTCTTCACTTCCTCTATCTAGGATATTGACCCCACAATAAGAGGCAAGGGGCCAGAGTTTTTCCTTTGAGTTTTTAGGTAGGGGAACATAACTGAAAAATTATATATAACTCAAATAGATAATCGTGGATCAAGGTCCCTGGTTTAGTCACATAGAACTCATTAACCCAGGGCTAGCAGGATGGCTCAGTGGGTAAAGGCACCTGCCATTGAGCCTGTCAACCTGAGTTTGATCCCTAGGACCTATAATGTGGATGGGAGAATTGCCTGCTCTGGCAAGTTGCCCTCTGACCTCCATGTCTCCCTAAACAAATATCTATAATTTTTTAAAAAATTAAAAAGAACTGTGATGCTGGAGAGATGGCTGAGGGGTTAAGAGAATTTGCTGCTTTTGCAGAGGACTGGGGTTCAGTTCCCAAACCCCACATGGTGACTTACAACCAGTTACAACTCCAGTTCCAGATCTGACTCCCTCATCTGACCTCCAAAGGTACCAGCACTCATACTTGCCAGCAAAGCACTCATACGAAGAGAATGAGTAATCGTAAAACTGCTATCTTTAAAAGACTGAAATACAAACTTCATTTCGTGAGTTACATCTCATGACAAAGCAGCAAGGCTATTTACATCTGAATCAGTTTCTACTTGGACTAGGTAATCCTTGCAGATAGACGTGCCTGTGTTAGTTTTGGTGCTGAACCTTGTCCCCCATCTCTGTGTGTCTTTATTTTAATAGGCAGCTGGGTTATCACACACACCGAATTTGGAGCTAGGGAACTGGATTCCTCTCCTAACTCAATACTTCCTGGTTCTGTCAACTTCAGGTGAGTTGCCTCTTCTATACCTCAGCTTTCTCATTTGTAAAATGGGTCAACTTAGTGGACATATGTGGAGAGAAAAATGGTAACATATACAAAACTTCTTGGACAACTACCATCAATATTAGAATAAAACTAGGGAAATTAGACTGGGGATGGAGCACAGTTATACAACATCCACCTAACATGTCCAAGGCCTGTGGTTGATCCCCAACACTGCAAAAAAAGGTCACATAAAGGTACCATGTTAGCTATGGTGGCAAATGTCTCTGATCATAGCACATAGAGGCAGGATCATAAGTGTGAGGCTAACCTAGGCCACACAAGTTCCACACCAAACTGGGCTCTGTACGACACTGTTTCAAAAACAGAGTGGTTAAACATAAAAAAATATTCATTTATTTATGGGGGTTGTATAGGCACATATTCATGGAGTAATATTTATTTATGGGGGTTATATAGGCACATATGCATGGAGTTTTGCAAGTCTATACATGCACAGATGCCAGAAAAGGATGCCACATACCCTGCTCTATAACTCTCAACCCTATTAACTTGAGACAGAGTCTCTCACTGAATCTGAACCTGGAGTTTGACGGGCAATCAGTGAGCCCCAGCAATTTTTCTGACTCTTTTTTTGGGGGGGGGTTCAAGACAGTGTTTTCTGTATTGGTTTGGAGGCTGTACTGAACTCGCTCTGGAGACCAGGGTGGCCTTGAACTCAGAGAGATCCGCCTGCCTCTGCCTCCCGAGTGCTGGGATTAAAGGTGTGCACCACCAACGCCCAGCTAATTTTTCTGATTCTTGCCTACCCCTGCTAAGACACTGGGGTTACATGGATGTGTGACACAACCCACTTTTCCTGTGGATTCTGAACTTGGGTCCTAGTGCTTGCACAGCAAGTGCTCTTACTTCCTGCTTCATCTCTCCAGTGTCCTCAAACATAAAGTTTCTATTTTGCGGTCTCTTCCATCTGTCTCCCAGGGGAAGGATAGAAGGAGCAAATGGCTAGAACATCTAAATGTTCTCCTCACAGTGAGTGAGAAAAGGAGTAAATGAGAGAATAAAGGAAGCAAGTTACATGGAATTTTTGGCCTCGAACCTGCGGAGTCCCTATTTTCTCTTCTGGATTCTGCTGCAGTTATATTCTCTAACCCTTGCCACTGAAACGGGCAGTCAACACACTAGCAGCATGGAGATTCTTTCTTAGAAAGGCAGAGCTCAAGTCTTACCCTAGGTATAATAAACCACATTTTGTATTCTAACAAGAATACACCCCCCCACACACACATACAGTTTTCTTTGAGACAGGGTTTCTCTGTATTGTTTTGGAGGCTGTCCTGGAACTCGCTCTGTAGACTAGGTTGGCCTCAAACTCACAGAGATCTGCCTGCCTCTGCCTTCCAGAGTGCTAGGACGAAAGGTATTCATCCCCACTGCCCAGCTTAGTATCAATCGTAACAAGATGATTGCCCATTCAAACTGAAGGAGCACTATTCTAGCCACAGAGAGGTAGTCATGTATATTTTCTAAATGGAAGTAGAGCCATGAGGTTATTGTGAATTAATACAGGTAGGATATTTAAGCAACTAGTAAAACCAAGGTGTTTAAAATCCTGTGGTTCAACTTCAAAAGTTAAATACACAGTCAAAATCAAGGATTCTTGCTTTTTCTTCAAGTACCATGAGAAGTGAAAAAGTTGTCCATTAAAATAAAAATCTCAGGGCCAGCAAGAGGGCTCAGCAGGTGAGGCACTAGGTACCCAGTTTAATGACCTGAATTCAATCCCAGGATGCACGTGGTGGAAGGAGAACCAACTCTTGCCAAGCTGTTTTCTGACCTCCACATGTGCACTTGATTGACTACTCCCTCACCCACCCAACACCCCATCAAAATAAATAAAGGCATTGTAATAAAAGTGTTTATAATAAAAATATCAAAAAGCCCAGTGTAATGACACAAGCCTTTAATCCCAGCACTCAGGAGGCAGAAGCAGGTGGATCCCTGACTTCAAGACCGGTCCAGCCTCCCATACTAAGTTGCAGGACAGCCTGGACTATGTAGAGACCCAGTCTCATTTTTTTCACAATCACAATGATATTGGATTGTGTTTCCCAGACTCTCTAAATGTTCCCTCTTATAGCATCTCCCCATTTATTTCCCTGAATCCTAAAACTAAAGAACACTGACAGCCTCTCCTTACCAGCAAGTTAACAAGTCTTGCTTTAACATCTTGTCTGCAATAAAATATTTTTAAATGTTAATTTTGTGTGTGGGAATCAAGGTCTCGTGTATGTAGACAAGTTTTCTACCCATTTAATTTTTTTTATTTTGAGACAGTCTGGCTAAGTTATGAAGCCTGGTTTTGAAATTGTGATGTTTCTGCACCAGCTGGCTCAGAACAAAGTTAAAATCCTTTAAGGAAAGGTGAGTAGTTATCATGACAAACACAGGAGTTAAACAATGATAAAACAACATTCCTATGCAGGTGTGGTGATGCACACCTTTTGATTGGGCTAAGTAGATCTTAGTAAGTTCAAGGCCAGCCTGGTCGACCTAACTAGGCAGGCAGAGCTACAGCAGAGACCACGTCTCAAAACAACAACAAAATACTCCTAAAGAATGTAATGTACACACTCCAGGGCGGTGGAGGAGGTGAAGCACGCCTTAATTCTGGCACTTGAGAGGCAGAAGCAGGTGAATCTCTTTTGAGGCCAACCTGGGATACAGAGTTCCAGAACAGCTAGGGCTGTTACATAAAGAAACCCTTGTCTTGAAAAACCAAAGAAAGCTGGGCATTGGTGGTGAATGCCTTTAATCCTAGCACTAGGGAGGCAGAGGCAGGTGGATCTCTTTGAGTTCCAGGACAGCCTGGCCTACATAGTGAGTTCCAGGACAGCCTCCAAAACAACACAGAAAAACCCTGTCTTGAAAAAAGCAAAAAGAAAAAGAAAAACAAACAAACAAAAAAAAACAAAATGAATGTACACACTAAAAATAACTTAATACTGAGGATAAAATCTGAAAACCTATTACATTACCTTCTGGGATGGAGATGAAGCATTAGATGATATAGCCACTCACCCAGTTGGTTAGTCATGAGAAAACCTGATTTGCATGTACCACATCCATAATAGTTGCATTTATGACATTGCAGAATTGACAATCAACAGAAAGCTTAGTTTTGGTTCCTTTGCTTTTGAGAAGCATGTAGTTCTGGCCTGGGCTCAACAGACTGCTTAGGTTAAAGTTTGTTGGTGATGGTGGCGTAGAATATCTAAAAGTCTCCAGCTGAACCCACATCCTCAAATCTGACTTTAGAAAACAAATAAAACAAAACCCAAACCAAATATAAAACAAAAACTGAACACTTCCCTGCTTAAGCCCTACTCACCCACATCAGATAGATCTCAGTACCTGGCAAGTGCTTATCTAGCAACCAAATACCTTCTAATGTGCCTTTTCCAAGTGTTCTCAATTCTTCAAAAGCTTTTCCTGAGTTACAGACATATAATGAACACTCCAACAAAAGCTTTTTTTTAAAGGACCATTTCTCCCTGGTCAGTCCCACTATGAGACAGAGTCTTTATTAAGGCTATGAACATACCTGGCTTCATGGGTGACCCACCAGGTTCAGAGAGGTCACTATACTTACCTCATTTGTTTATGCAGGGCATATGCTTCAATCAGAGAGTGGACCATACTGGCCTGAAATATCAGCATAAAAGAAGGAAGGCAAAACAGTCTCTATAAGGTTCAATTTACTGAAATCCCATTAACAACATCCAGCATGAAGAACTAACTAATATCTCTTCTCCCTCTGTCACTTTAACAGTTGGAATACCCTTAAGACAAAACAGTATCAAAATCACCAAGACAGAAGCCACCCAGCCTTACTTAGCACAACTGATGGAATACTCCCTCCCAAGGGCTTTTGTGGTTGAGGACTTCAATGAAACCCCTCCTATTAGTAACTCCACTCACCACTTCACCATTCCTTCCCTTCCTCCGCCTCCTGTCCGCCCTTGCCCCCGCCCCCGCCCCCACCCACGGGTTGGATGCCCCACTATGCTCCCCAAAGGTAACGAACCGCTTCCTTCTGCTTCACCTTGGTGTGACTCAAACTGCTAGTTAAATTTTTGCTGAAGGTATCCCTCAGTCCGGTTTCCCCGGCTTCCTAAAGTACTCCTTTTCACACCCTCCCACCCCCATCCCCCAAAAGATGGTCTTTCATCCAGACCTCTCTTACCCGTTTGGGGACCTTGGTGAGGGAGTCGCAAATGCTGACATACTCGGGACTATAAATATAAACAGGGGGTAGCGAATGCTCACTATTGGCGGCTTCCTCTGGCATCTCCATCTCCCACTTCCAACCGTCCCCGAGCCAAAGTCTGGATCCGACAGTTTTCTGACTGAGCATGGGCTCCGGTTCCTGCTCTTCTGATCGGCCCGGGCGGTGTTCACTAGTCAACATTCCCTCTCCTTTAGATCGCCGGAGAGTTTGCCTGTCCCTCGTTCATTTGCAGGGATGGATGGACCCTCCCAGACCAGATTCCTTCATTTAATGACCACAGTTCAAAAAAGGGGCATCACAGATATAAAAGCCCAAATGGCTGCCAATAGAGATCGATTTTTTTTTCATGGTACAAGCAGCACGGTCAAAACTAACCAGCCTTGTTGCCCTACGGGGCTATTTAAAATGAGGTCAGACCGGCTCCAGAGCATGCTGGGAGATGTAGTTTTAAGAACGTGAGGTAGCGGAAGAGTCACAGCTGAAAACTAAAAACCGCGATTTCAAGTTTTGGCGCTAAAAGGGAGCCTCAACTCTTCAAGTTTTCAGTCTGAAAATATCACCATTTAAATGTTTAAATAGAGGTACAGTACATTTTCAATAGCCACGTAGGACCCACCACCACATCAGCTGACTATACTAAGAACTGGCTTTTAGGGGCTACGGAATTAATGGACCAAACGGAAAACTTACACAGCAAATTTGTATTTTTCCATAGGAAGTCATTCGAAACATTGTAATCATTCAGTTACTCAAGCATTTCCATCAACTAAGTGTCCAGTTTAGCTATGGATTCAAAGATACAATGTGTCTCAAGAAACCTGCAGTATTATAGTGAAAATAAGTCAACTGTAATAGAAACCATATCAATATAGAACCAAATAAGGAATGTAAGATGCTTAACTTGGCAAATAAGTATTAAGTACTTAAATACTGAGTATTCAATAAATGGGTAAGAAGGATTCTTAGTAGCATTTGAGAACATCCTAGTTAGAAGATGTTCAACATTGTGCTTGATGAGAATGGGAGGGTATGCTGACTGGAAGGAGTAGCTTACATAAAAATACAAAGAACTGGGGCTGGAGAGCTGGATCAACAGTTAGGAGCACTGGCAGCTCCTACATTGGACCCAGGTTCAATTCCCAACACTCACATGGAAGCTCATAACTGTCCATAACTCCAGTTCTAGGGGATCCAACACCCTCACACAAACTTGCATGCAGACAAAACACCAATGCACACAAAATAAATTATTTTTTTAAAAATACAAAGAACTGTGACAGGCAAGATAGCTCAGTGGATAAAGGTACTCTATTTTAGCTGAATGGGCCAGATCATGAAAGGCTTCAAATATTAGGTTAGCGAAAACATATTTTATTCTCTTGGAAATGGGGGAGGGATCATTTTGTAGTGCTGGGCATGAAATGGCTTTGTCTGCAGTGAGCTAGGCCCCAACCCCTTAGAATCTTCAGAAAAATACTCTACAACAGCAGTGTGTATGAAAATGCGTTTTTGAAAAGGCTGGAAAGTTCAGACGAGGAGTAATAGCCGATTTCAACTAGACTGGCAGCATGGGAAGACAAAGGCAGCAGTAGTGCATAGGGGAGCTCAATAGGACTCTATTGGTACTTGGATAATGGCAGAGAGTGAGGGAGATGACAGAGAGCTGCTGACAACTTGTAAAAGTTTAAGATCTGGGTATAAGAAATTAGGGTCTTGCCAGGCGGTGGTGGTGCACGCCTTTAATCTCAGCACTAGGGAGGCAGAGGCAGGCGGATCTCTGTGAGTTCGAGGCCAGCCTGGTCTACAAGAGCGAGTTACAGGAAAGCATCCAAAGCCACAGAGAAATCCTGTCTCGAGAAACATAAAAAAAGAAAAGAAAACAAACAAACAAACAAACAAACAAAGAGAGAGTGATTAGGGTCTTAGTTCAGTGGCAGAGTGTGTGCTTAATATGTGCGGCACCAAAAAGAAAAAAGGCAGTAAGGAGGAAGAAATAAAAGGGTAGGGCAGGATGGACTTTGGAGTGGACTGAAGAAATGTTAAAAAGTGTTAAGTCTCATAAAACAATGGGTCAGCTGGATGTGGTAGCACACAACTTTAATCCCAGCACCAGGGAGGCAGATCTTTGTGAATTCAAGTCTGGCCTGGTCTACTGGGTAAGACCCTGTCTCAGAAACCAAATCACGCACGCACACACAAACACACACACACACACTTTTCCATATAAAAATAAAGATGACAGAGGCAGGCGGATCTCTGTGAGTTGGAGACCAGCTTGGTCTGCAGAGCGAGTGCCAGGATAGGCTCCAAAGCTACACAGATAAACCCTGTCTCCAAAAACCAATAAATAAATAAATAGATAGATAGATAGATAAATAAATAAAAATGAAGTCATGAGTAGCTAAGATAGTGAGGGTAATATAAGTGAAATAGTTGGATATAACTTCTGGATATAACTTCAATGCTTTCAAAACTAAACTTCTGATTTCCCCACGTCCTTTATACCCTTTTCCTATTTTTTTTTTGGTTTTTTGAGACAGGGTTTCTCTATGTATATTTGGAACCTTTCCTGGAACTAGCTCTTGTAGACCAGGCTAGTCTTGAACTCACAGAGATCCGCCTGCCTCTGCCTCCCAAGTTCTGGGATTAAAGGCATGTGCCACCACCACCAGGCCCCTTTTCCCATTTTTACACCCATCCCTGTTGCACAAGCCAGAAACCTAAGAGCTATCTGTGTCCTTTTTTATTCCTTCACATGAAGATCCAGTTGGAGATTTGAGGTACAGGAAACCTATACCCAGCAGTCCAACCAGACCACTCACATGGAGGGGTCTGGAGACTGCCCACTACCTGGTTTCAAAAAGGAGGTACTTAATCTCTGTAACATCTAAACCCATTTCTGAAACATCTGCCCTCTATCCTTGTTTTCTCTATGATCAGACTAGAGATCACTGTCAATACTGGCCAGAAGTTTATGGACGTTGCCCTTATTGGTCCTGTGAGAGACACAATGCATATTCAGAAATGATCTCTACCTTTTATGCAGAATGGGGAATTTCTTACATTCTTATTAAAGACCCATGGCACCCCAGATGGGAGACCAGGGTCATTGGTAAACTTTACTATAGCGATTATTACAACCACCCATCAGAACGCTCAAAATACAGAGAGTACACATCCCACTCTCTCAAACCCCAGGTATAGACTTGGTAGAAGTGGTCCAAAGTTCCTCAAAAGTTCTTACTTCCTTATTGCCACCCCTTTTTGATGATACTGATCCCACCTCCCTGTCATACCATCTCATTTCAAACCTTAATCCCTGCATAAATGATGCCTTGCCTAACTGCTTTGAAGAATCAGCATTCTTTTTTTGGTTTTACCAGACAGGGTTTCTCTGTATTGTTTTGGAGGCTGTCGGTCCAGCCCCGCTTCGAACTCACAGAGATCCGCCTGCCTCTGCCTCCCGAGTGCTGGGATTAAAGGCGTGTACCACCAATGCCCGGCCCAAGAATCAGCATTCTTATGTGTCCCCCCTGGGTCAAATTCACAACCACCGTTTGTGGCCTCACTTTTCTACCTTACCACTATTAAACTGCTCTGAGTCAAACATCACTACCAGCCCTTATCTCTCTCACATCTCTCTCTCTTCAGTATGGCAGACTGCTCTAACTCCTCAGGATCACACTGTGTGGGCATTCTGGATTCTGCAGATTGCAATAATACCACAACACTTAGTACTACCACACAGCCCCTATGTCCAAACATTCACAATGCTTTTCAATTCTCTGTGGCACACAAGTATATCACTGCCCACCTGCTAATTGGTCTGGGACCTTTCTTTTTCCCTAAATTGGGGGTGGTACCTGGTGAAGAGCCCCTGCCAATTCCCATCACTGAATTTATGGCAGTACAGCATGACATGAGCAATTCAGATCATACCCTTCTGCCAGCCCTGGGCATAACTGCAGGTGTGTTCACAGGAGCAGCAGGAGGGACTATTTCCCTAACTATGTACCATAGGCTTCCCTCACACTTCATTCAGGATTTCCAACGGGTAGCTCAGACTATCAGACTATCCTCACCCTTCAGTCTATCCATGTTAACCGATCAGGCATAGTAAAAGATAACATTCAACAACCTCAGACAGACCTTAAAATACATAAGGAACAGCTTAATGTCTCTGGCCAGTGGATCACTGATAGTTCAATATAGAACTGAATGCTACCTTTCTGAATCCCTTTTCTCTGTCTTTTCTTAATCCGACTAGTGGCACCCTGCCTTATAACTTCTTGTATAGATTCCTTCAACAGCAAGTTCAAAGGATTTCTAACCAAACTTTCAAACAGTTGCTGTTGTAGGATTACCAGTCCCTAGCTAAGGAACCAGGTCTACAACACCTGGACACAACTGGACGATGAAGATGAAGATTGTCCCATGAGCCTCGATGCCCCAATTGAGCAGGAAGTAGTCTAATGATAATGCTGCCCCCTTCCCAACCACCAGTTGTTTTATTAATAAAAAAGGGGGGGAATGTAAGAGAAAAGGGCCAACTAAAGAAAAACATCCTGAAAACAGTGCCAAAGAAACACACTTTGTCCCTGGAATCAGAGCCAGTGAAAGAAACACACCCTGGTCCTAAAATTACAGCCAAAAGGCTAAAAAGGACCAGTGAAAGAAGCACACTTTGGCCCTGAGACCACAGCCAAAGAAGCACACTCTGTCCCTGACCAAACTCATCACAAAGAACAACGAATCCCTGGCAGAGGCAGCCACTCTCCTGGATTCTTCCCTCCAAATACTTCTCCTGAGTGAGGTTTGGGTGAAGACCTTCTTTCTCTGCAGAGCAGAGACTACCCAGGGCAGAGTGGAGCAGGGCCGTCACACTTTCATTGGTGAAACCTTCTCCTGGGGAAACCTTGCCCTGGAAGATTGGAGTTGTTAGAATTCTCTCCACTCTCCTGGGGGTGGGGGGGGGAGGGGAGAGCAGGAGCAGAACTGTAGCAGCTTTGCTGAGGAAGCCCTCTCCTGCCAGAGCAGAGCTGTTCCATAGGGAAGCCATTTCCTGGGACCCAGGAAGCTCTCTCTAGCCTGGGTGTAGCCAATACACTGGGGAAGCCTTTCCCTGGAGGTGGGGAATCCCTCTCCTGCCTGAGTGGAGATGATACACTGCCAAAGCCATTCCCTGAAGCAGGGCGCTAAGATGCTATGCTTCCTGTGGTGTTCCTTGTCTCCCAAGTGCCAGAATACCTGTCTATCCAAGCTGTAACACTCAGTATTCCTTGGCTCCCGAGCTCCCGAATTCCTTTCCATCTGAGCAGTAACACTCAGTATACTGTGACTCCTGAGTTCCAGGGCCAAATTTGACCCTAAACCTGTGCAATAAACTAACCAATCCCTGAGCAGAAGATCTAGCCATTCTGGACTCAGGGGTTGAAATCTGATCAATCCCCACCCTGGAAATCTCCCTGAAAAAAAACCTCTGCTCCCTAAGATTCCCTAAACCATCCCTGTGTGTGTCTGTTCAGCTTGTGGCTGTCCTTCTGCCTCCTTCTACCCTGGCAGAGGCAGCAACTCTCCTGGATTCGTACCTCACAATACATCTCTTGAATGGGGTTTGAGTAAGACTTTCTTTCACAGGAGCAGAGACGAGACCCTGGGCAGAGCAGGGCTGTAACACCTTCCTCTGGGGAAGCTCCGCTTTCCTGGGGACTGGAGATGAACTGTAACAACTTCACTGGGGAAACCCTCTACTGCCTGAGCAGAGCTGAGGAGGCCTTTCCTGAAGCAGGGCTGTGAGTTGCTATGCTTACTGTGACCTGTGGTACTCCTTGGCTTCCGATTGCCAGAATCCCTTTCCATTTTAGCTGTAACACTCAGTATTCTTTGGCTCCCCAGTATCAAAGGCACCTGTTCCCTGGGACTGGGAGATGGCTCTGTCAATAAAGGGTTTGCTGTGCAATCATGATGACCTGAGTTCAGATCCTCAGCACACACACAAAAGCCTGACACTCCGTACTGGGAAGACTGATGCAGGCAGATCTCATTGAGGACATGGTCAGTGACAGAGCTTGTCTCTAAAAATAGCTGAACAGTGATTGAAGTAGACACCTGATGTTGACTGCTGGCCTCCACACCTGCACATGTATATATGAAACACCCCGAAGGGGGGAGGAGAGAGGGAGAGAGGGGGGGAGTGTGTTTGCACAAACTGGATATCATTAGGACATGTCCCATTACTTGGTGAGGATCGTCAAGTCCATAATTGCATTTTTAGGAAAAGAGACAACAACGCATGCTTACACACAGAATGGAAGGAGTCTGAGGCTGGACTAAAAGGTGAAATTGTGATAGTCTCGTATTGTTGGGAGGAAATGAATCTTGCTCTGGGTCTTCAGGGCTAAGCAACAGAAGGGACAGACTGACTGACGCCCCAAATTCTAAGCTCTAGTCAGATGGCACAGAAATGGTTTGTTTTATTTGCTTTCAAGACCAGCAACAACTGAGCACTTCAGCACACAAGCTCTTCTAACAGCATCCTAGCACAGTAAACAAGCAACAGATGATTCAAATGTGGAGAATGGTGAGTTGTTGCTTAATGCCCTAGAATTGACAGTGATTCCTGCAGTGGTCTCACAGGGTGAGTGGATGCTTGTTTATGGTTAACACAATTCAAAAATCATTCTACAAGTTTAATTGTTTAGTCCCTACACTGTCCTGGGAAGGAGACCTTCTCAAGACATTGAATTTGGAGTCAGAGGACTCGGGGAAAAAGGTTGAAGCCTGTGTCTGAGATTCCTGGGTGATGGTCCTACACAATTATTTGACTGGCTTTCTCCGGCTATTGCCAACGGTACTGTCTGAACATGCAAGGTCAGAGTGGTTGGGGCAGTTTCTTTTGTGGGCATCCCTTGCCTTCCTTGCCTCGTTTTGCTGGCAGAGGCAGAAAAGGAAAACTAAATTAAGCTAGCACTTTCCCATTGGCTGCCTTTGCTCAGTTCAGTCTTTTCACTGATGCTTCAACACAGTGACACTTGACTTCCCATAGTTTCCTAAGGTTATCTTCCTAGAACAATACAATCGTTATGAATGAGAACTTTAAATCCAGTCCAAGGGTTCAAATCCCAGAACAGCAACTTATTAGCTAATTTGCTTTGTGCAATTTTCTTCAATTATCAGTGCTTCAGATCCCTTAACAATAGTAAGGTGGGGGTGTCAGCACTACCTACCTCCAAAGTAGACTGTGAAGGGAAGACGGTTTATGCATTTGGCAAGCACTCACATACTGTTATGTCAGTCAGGCATTGGTGGCGCACGCCTTTAATCCCAGCACTCAGGAGGCAGAGGCAGGAGGATCTCTGTGAGTTCAAGGCCAGCCTGGTCTACAGAGCGAGTTCTAGGACAGCCTCTAAAACAATACAGAGAAATCATATCTCGAAAAACCAAAAAAAAAAAACGACTGTTATGCCAACCACTCTTTAATATGTGTTCCAAGTTAGACTGTTATCCTAAATTCACTAGTAATTTGAGGTCAGATTCCTGGCTTTGAGGCATAGCCTTAAAAGAAATCAGACTTTTACTAGATACAAGGTGGTCATATGATCGACCCTAGAACACTTGAACAAGCGACAGAAAGTGATATTAATAACTATGCCAGGAAAAGAAGTATAAATAAGGGGTCTACTGAGCAAACCAAGGTCTGCAGTTACTTCAGTTGAACAAAATGTAAAGACTAAGGGGCTGGGGAGATGGCTTGTTGAGTAAAGTCTTGTCATGTAGGCATAAGGACCTGAGTTTGATCCCGATAGAACAGGCAGGGCATGGTTCTGGCATATGCTTGGTGCCTGTCTCAGTGCTGGGTATCTAGGCAGAGTGGTCCTTGAGGTCCTTGAGTGGACTGACCACTCAGCCTAGGCTAACTGGTGAGTCCCAGGTCCAGTCAGAGACTCCACTCCAAACAGATAAAAGTTGAGAGCTTCTGAGGAGTGACCCTGAGCTGACCCTTGGCCTCCACGTGTGTATACACCAGCGTGGCGCACATATGTACCTGACCACTTGTGAACACACACACACACACACACACACACACACACACACACACACACTTCTGTGAACTATGGCTAAAGGTGACAACTTTTGCCACACCAGTTGCATCAAATTCTCAGAATGTAGTAAAACTAAACTATTTAGGAAGGGGATGTAGAGACACTGTTTGTTGCCGGATTAAGTACTTTTTTGTTATAGAAATTGTCAGTGTGTATTTTAAACAATATTATGTGAAATATTGATAATACTTAAGAGAACAGCTATCTTAAGTCTTTCCAGTAGTTTAGAAACACCACTTACAGAGTTGAAATGGAGTAAAAAAGTCCATCTTATATATATATATACATATATATATATATATATATATTGGTTTTTCCAGACAGGGTTTCTCTGTGGCTTTGGAGGCTATCCTGGAACTAGCTCTTGTAGACCAGGCTGGCCTCCAACTCACAGAGATCCGCCTGCCTCTGCCTCCCAAGTGCTGAGATTAAAGGCGTGTGCCACCAACGCCCGGCCCCATCTTATATTTTAATAAACTATCTAAAGCACTAAACCTGTACTTTTTATATATGTGAGGTATAATAGTGTACAGTATATGTTACTCTAATTTGACCCAGTCAATGAACTTTGAGTATAATACATAACCAAGCATATTTAATGAAAGTCATGAATTAGCTTCAATCACAAAAACATATATAGGCTTTGTGCAGTGACACCAGACATAGGAGATTCGTATTCTTTATTCTAACTTCAAAACATTATGTACTTTTAAAAAAAGTTCCAGGATGGTTTTTTCTTCATATTAACACTCTTATTTAATACTTAGCCAGGTAATGGTACTGCAAACCTTTAATCCTAGCACTTGGGAGGCAGAGGCAGGTGGATCTCTGTGAGCTCGAAGCTAGTCTGGTCTACAGAGTGAGTTCCAAAATAGCCAGAACTGTTACAAAGAGAAATCCTGTCTCAGAAAAAAAAACAGAAACAACAACAAAAAAACAACAAAAGGAAAAAACACAAGTAATGTTTTGTGAAAAGTTACTTTAGAAATTAAATGTCAACTACTGGGTATTACATGGACAGACAAGTCAGTAACCCCAGAGAAATGCAGGCATCAGAGTCAATTCAAGAAAATAGGTCCTAGAAGGAGTGGCAGCTCCCACCCATAGTGCTGGGTGGCTTCTGTGATCGGGGCACACTTACAAGCTGTGAAAAGACAAACAGGTGACAGAACAGGTTGTATGTTCTCCTCAAAAGTGAGCAGAAAACCATGCACTCATAAAACTACTCATTATGTGTTCCCATGGCTGATGATCGGGAAAAGATGGGTCACCTGCCCTTTGCTTCTTTCTACCACCAGTTTGCTAACTCACTGTGCTTGGCTGGCGTGCTCTGAAGACTGTACCTGATTCTGTGACTGTTCGCTAGCCAGCCCCATCATACTCATTACTGTCCTGGAAGAAAACCCTTAAAAATCTTAGGGAACGAGGTGTGAAGTAGGAAATGATCTGGGTAGAAACAAAGAAAATCAGGAGAAGTCTCTGCTAAGCTAGGCTACCTATACATGGAACCAGAGAATGGGATGGAAGGTGTATTTCTGCTACCCTCTGTGTGTCCTCCTGAGGCCAGCTGGATGGCTCTCTCTCACACAACATGCTTTAAAATGTTTTTGAGCCAGGGCCTCATACTCAGGCTTGCCTGGAGCTTGCTAGGTAGCCCAGGGTGGCTTTGAACTCACAATCCTCCTGCCTCAGCTTCTCAAGATTAGTAGTGAGTATAATCAGGCTTGGTTTGCAATATTACCTACATGTTTATTTAATCCATTAAATGTAGAGACAGACAGACAGACACACACACACATACACACATCCAAAATGCTTAATTATTTATTTAACCACTACAAACATACACAGAGAGATGTGTAACAATAGGTCTTTGGCTACAAATACCAAGATCAAAGGATGTAAGTACTTGAGTTAAGAACTGAAAACAAATGTAAGTGAAAGAAGCGAAGAATAGATGTGGGAAAGGAGGGAGCTATGAAGGGGTGCTTGGGTGTGGTGGGGGTGAATAAGTGAGATGGAGAGGGGTGATTTGTACAGCAGCCACAGACCAGACTCCTGGATTTCTCTCTGCTGAAGACAGGCTTCAGTTACTCTCTGTGTTGTATGAGGGCTATTCTCTAGAGGCAAGGATTTTGTGTCCAAGGCTGTCCACAAGCACCCTACCTAACTCTGGTGGGCTCTTGCCTCCCTGTGTGTAAAGCAAACCTATCCTACATAACTTCTCTCCTTTCCCTTCCTCTTTGGAATTGGGCTCCTGGCTCCATTTCTCTGGGTAATTCCATATGTTCTCAAATATGTGCCTGGTAGCATCTGTCCCCATAAAATGTGACTTCAAGTGTTAACACAGAAATTCTTAAGCTTACATGTGAGCTTACTTTTTTTAATATTTCACCACAGAGTAGGCAATGGGCAGCTATAGAAAGGACAACAGTGAAAGGCAATACTTCTATAGAGAAACTATTTCACCACTCAAAATGAAGCAACCTTTGAGTGAAGAAGGAAGCCATGATCTGGTGCTGGCTTTTCCTAAGTAAAGGCACTTAAAGTAGACATGTCCAATTTATAGCAGCATAAAATCCAATGACTTAGCATCTATGCTCTTGAAGTAACAGCCCAATAAAGATTCACCACTCACACACACACACACATACACACACACACACACACACACACACACACACACACACACACACACACACACACAAAGACAAAAGAAAGCCCAGAAATGAGAAAACTGAGCTTCAGAATAACTTATTAATACCTGCTTCCCAATAGGAGGTAGAAAACTAAGCTGGTAACAGCTCTACAGAGTAAACCCACATGCAGACTGTTCTGAACCATAAAGGAAGTAGGGATAGTGATTGTAGACTTGTTGAACTTCTCAAAACTGGAGGCAAGTTTCCCAGTAAGGGTTCTTTTCTTCAAAAGTATTGAGATTATCAGCAAAGTTCTCTCTTCGTGGGAGGGATGGGCAGGAAAGGGGCATGGGGAGTGGTCAGGTGCTAACATTTCAGTTCTATGCAAACCAACTAAGACAGGGACCAGATGCTGAAAGGCATCCAGCAGTCAGAAGCCACAGCCCTCACTGCATGGCACAGAGGCTGTGTGGCAGAAACTCCTGCACATAGGTGGCAGCTGCTTTGGAGAGGTAGGTCATGGTGCCAAATCTGCCACTGGGTGCACTGTCATACAGAAGAGTACAGATGCCAGATGCAGGATCCTTGGCCAACATGACATCATCAGCGCCGAGGGTTTTCTATTTGGTTTTAAAAGATAGGAAAACACAGTGAGAAGGAAAAGTTACTAATCCTGCCAAGTAAAACCCTGATTAGTATACCTCAGAGCTTCCTTCCTATTGCCAGTTCTTTGGCTTTTTAAGCAGAAGGGGACCAGGGTTATTAAGGATGGATATGAATTTCTATAAATGACATTTGATACTAGACTCCCTAAATTATTTTAATTACTGTTTAGAATTTTCTATTATAGAGCATCTTTGAAAATTAAATATCAATTAACAATTGATTAAAAGCCAGGCTTTGGTGTTGCACGCCTTTAATCCCAGCACTTGGGAGGCAGAGGCAGGCGGATCTCTGTGAGTTTGAGGCCAGCCTGGTCTACCGGGCGAGTTCCAGGATAGGCTCCAAAGCAATACAGAGAAACCCTGTCTCGAAAAACCAAAAAAATATAATTGATTAAATGATTTATGTCTGTTAATAACTAAAATAATGTTAGCACTTGGAGATAACCCTAGTGGACTACATTGGAACCTCCACCTTCTAGTACTACTGATTTTAGCTTGTATTCCTTCATATTGTATTTGGTTTTATTTCTTTCTAAACCACTTTAATTAAAAAAGACTGTAGACATTCCAAATATAGAGTCTATGCCTAAAATGGATCATATTTTTTCATATGTGAACTGATAATATTCTAGAGCATTCAAAACTAGGACTGTTTAGAAAATCTTGGCTACTTTTGTTTTCTCTCACAGTGGCTGAGAAGGAAGCATCTGTTGTGTGTTTAAGTCTCATGTAGCCCAATCTGGTTTTAAGCTTACTTTGTAGCTGAGGCTGGCCTTCAATTCCCAATTCTCCTGCCTGCAACTCCTGGGTGTTATGACTGCAGGTGTGCACCATATTAGGCAACCTACCTGTTCTTGAAGGAACAAGTCATTGGCAATATGTACTATTTTTTCCACAGCAATGATGCTCCCAATGCTGTGAATTTCAATATCTGCCAGCATGGTAAGGACAAGAATGGCTTCAACCAAAAGTTGGCGGTACTCAGGTTGAGGTACACGATTCAGAACAGACTCCACGTGGACAGAGAATTTAATCTCTCCTGGGGTCATCTGTGATAGAAAAAGGGAAAATCACTTTCAAGAATCCCATAACCCAAGAACATCAAACATTTTCTTTGAAAAGCAGTAAAAAGCACTATAATTGCAGCCCCATTAATGGAATTGTGTAGACTGGAGCAGTTGTTTTGCAAGCACAATCTGGTAATGCATAACAAGAATCATAAAGTGTCAATGTTCTCTAACCCCAATTATTATTTCTGGGAGTTTGTCCTAAGAAAATAATTCAGAAGAAAAAGCTCCATGTATATGAATGTTTATGGTAGCATCAGTCACACAGGCAAAACTTGATATAACTAAACATGGCAATGAATGCATAAGTGATGATATGCTATAGCAAGACTACATCTAATGACCCTGACTAGAGGAAACACTATGATAAGTATAATTATGTGAAATAGCTACATATTGTTAGAATAAGATGGACCTTAAGAAATGCGGCTATGGGACTAGAGAGATGGCTCAGTGGTTAAGAGCACTGACTGCTTTTCCAGAGGACCTGGGTTCAATTCATGTCACCCATATGATGGCTCAGAACCATCCTTAACTGTAGTTCCAAGAGATCTCACCTCTTCTCACTTCCACAGGGACCAGGCATGCATGTAGTGTATATACACACACGTGCAGGCAAAGCACCCATAGACATTAAAATTTTTTAAAAACTTTGAAAGCTGGGCATTGGTGGACACTCCTTTAATCTCAGTACCCGGGAGGCAGAGGAAGGTGGATCTCTGTGAATTCGAGACTAGCCTGGTCTACAAAACTTAGTTCCAGGACAGCCTCCAAAACAATGTAGAGAAACTCTGTCTCAAAAACAAAACAAACAAACAAAAAAAACCTTTGAAGTGCAGTTATTTTGGGATGAAGTAGATTGAGAAATACTTTTTTGATAAAGCTGTATTGAGTTTCTGTGGGTATCTCCAGTTCTGTCTCGGTTCATTTGGTCATCTCTCCTCCCTCTCCGCAACTGGATTCTGGGAGTATGGCTCAGTGCTCATGAGAGCACACTGACTCTAGCCATAAAGCAGGGGAACCAACATCAGACCAAACCAAGCCCTCTGAATGTAGGTACCAGCTAGGAGGTCCTAGCAGTCTTTGGAACCTCTAACAGTGGAGCCAGGGTTTATTTGTATGTCACAAATGGACTTTGGGAGCCCTTTCCCTTGGAGAGATACTACTGCAGCTCAGATACAGAAAGGAGGGCCTGGGCCCTCCCCCAAATGATGTGATGGACTTTGATGATCCCCCATGGAGGGTCTCAATATCCCTGGGGAGTGGGTGGTGGGTGGGTTGGGGGATTGGTGGGAAGCATGGGAGGATGGGAGGTCGAGGGAATGGGAGGATGGATATGTAAATAAGAGTGTTTCTAAAAATAAAAAAGGGGAAACTTGTATTGAGTTTATACTCTATAGAACCAATTAGATTTGGAATGTAAAGATGGGTTCAAAACTTGTGTCAGGAGTAAAGACATTTTCTTCTTGGGTATCTTACAAAGTTGAACAGAGAAATCAAATTTAAAAATGTGAAAGTTCTTTGAAGGCTCTTAAAGGTATTAGGTTTATATTATTACTACTAATATTTCAACACTGTCTAAATGCACAGGCAGCATGGTGTTCTCTGTTACATAAAGGGCTTGTATGTAACAGTAAAGGTCTAAGACATTACACTCAGTATTTAGTACTGGCACATCCAGCTGATACTGCAACAACACCAGTTTTTGAGAATTTTATCCTAACTTGTTAGAACAAAACAATAAAAACATCTGATAATCAGTATCTGTGTTTCATGGCAATGTTTTCAAACCATGATTATTTATCAGTGTTAGTCTAGAGATTAAAAATTACAAATGCTTAGGTTTCCTCTCTGGAAACTCTTAATTCGCTAAGTTGGAAAAGAAAGTTACTTTAATACATAGGTTCTCAACCTGGGGGTGGTGACCCCCTTGGGAGTCTGTTGTGGAATATTACTTTAACTATATAAAGGTGTGTTACATTTGTTCATGCTGCCTTTGTTTAATGATGTAAAGATGGGTTGCTTTGCCTGCCTAAGTCACCCAATTGGTCTAATAAAAAGCTAGGCAGTAGAGGGATGGTTGGAGCGAGCAGGCAGAGAGAATAAGTAGTAGGGATCTAGGCTTCAGATGGGAGGGAGGGAGAGGGAAAGCGAGAGGGAGAGGGAGGGAGAGAAAGAGAATGAGGGGACAGAGAGAGAATGAGGGAGAAAGAGAGGGAGATGTCCAGTGCCAGCTAGGCAGTAGCCAGCCAGGCAGACACAGAAGCAGGAAAGTAGGACACACAGAAGGAAAGAAAGGGAAAAGGCACTGAGGCAAAACATAGATGAAGAGAAATGGGTTGATATAAGTTAAACGTAAGTTATAAGAGCTAGTGGGACAAGTCTAAACTAAGGCTGAACATTCATAATTTGTAAGTCTGTGTCATTATTTGGGGACTAAGAGTCCATAACAGCCTTCTACAGGAGTCAAATGACCTTTTCACAGGGGTTGCATATCAGATATTTACATTATGATTCATAACAGTAGCAAAATTACAGGCATAAAATAGCAACCCAATAATTTTATGATTGGGGGGACCACAACATAAGGAACTGCATTAAAGGGCCACAACATTAGGAAGGTTGAGAACCACTGCTCTAATATAAAATTAAGAGGTCAAGATCAGCACAGGTCTACAAGTATCCTCTTAGAGAAAGGTTGGGGTGAAAGAGATGGGAGAATGTAAGAAGCCATTCATTCTTAGCACCTGTACTCCCTTTGCCTTCTCTGACTCCCAGTCACACATAGAAAAACTTTAGTTAACCATTACAAGAAGCTTTTCTTAGTTAACCATTACAAGAAGCTATTCTTATTGTTGTTGTTTTGGTTTTTTGAGACAAGGCTCTCTGTGTAGCAACCCGCACTGTCCTCAACTCACTCTGTAGAGCAGGCTGGTCTCAAACTCACAGACAATCTGCCTGCCTCTGCCTCCCAAATGCTGTGATTAAAGGAGTGTGTCACCACTGCCCAGTACAAGAAGCTATTCTTATTACCAAAACATACAATTATTCATTTGTATGGTGTGTATGTATGTTATATACATGTGTGCTAGTATACTTGACTGTGTAAGCAAATGTGAAAGTGAGAAGCTGACATGAGATGTTTTTCTTAATTGTTTTTCCATCTTTTTTGAGGCGGGGTCTCTCGCTGAACCTGGAGTGTTCCATTTCATCTAGACTAACTGGCCAGCAAGCCCCTACAATTCACCTGTCACCACATCCCAGTGTTGGCATTACAAGCTTGCATAGTCATACCCATTTTTATTTTATATGGGTGCTAGGAATTCAAACCCAGTTTACTGACTAAGGCAGCTCCCAGCACCATATTATTATTGTCTAATATTCCCATTCCATTTTTACCTCCTTCATGCATTTCAGTCAATTGATGTATAAAAGCATGGGTGTGTTTCTTTGAAAACTAATTTATATATTTAGCTTCAATAATATCAATTCAATCAATATCAATTTGATAATTGGTGACTGAAATATTTTAGACCGTCAAGGTTTCCATCATGTAAATATAAAAGACAGAATCTTACCTCTCTGGTGGTTGAAGAAGGAAGAACAAAACCTTCCACAGAAAGTCCATGACACTGCCAGGTAGAAAAACATGTTATTACCAGAGACAAAGTAACAACTGGGAGGCAAGAAGGAACACTTCATATTTCTAGATGTGTTTCACACATTATGGTCTGAATAACCACAGGACAGCTAGAGACCCTATAGCATGAGTTCATGATTTTTAAGTGCCAAGATTCAGGATGACACTACCAGTTTGTCCTCTTCTTAGGGGGAGTGGAGTGGGCAGGGAAAATCTTTCTGGGATAGACTAGACACCAGATTCAAAGAATCTCTAGAAGAGTATCATACTAGATCCCAGAGTCACCACACCAGGAGGCCTTCAAGGCCTGGCAAGATAGCTTGACAGGTAAAAGGTACTTGCCAACATCCATGCAAGTTCAATAACAAGAGTTTACTCCCATAATCCCAAGTAAAGGAAGAAAGGAAGTACCTACTCTACAAAGCTGTACTCTGACCTCCACATGTACACTATAGAATGTACTCCCTAACATTGTATCACACACACACACACACACACACACACACACATTTTCAAGAAATTAAATAGGCCTTCAAGAAACTTAGACTGCCAAAAATGACTCCCAATATGTACTAATGGATATGAGTCATTACTACTTGTTTTAGTTGAGTCCCTCATCAATACTGTTACCATACAGCCTGGATTAAGTATCCCTTTATAACATTTGTGTGTGCTGGTTCTCTGGGCAGGCACATGTCAACAAACCAGTGGAAGTCAAAGGACAACTTGGAGAAGTCAGTTCTTGCTTTTCATCATGTGAGTCCTCTGTATGGAACTCAGGTGGCAAGAGCCATCTTGCCTGCCTTGTGAATAGGCATCTTTATTACAAATCATTTTGGCTTTGCATAACAGTTGCTTTGAAAGGAGGTAGCCACAAGATTCAACTCCTTGATGACAAAGAACAGATATTCTGTAGTTTTTATGTGGTACATTAGACAGAGTACCTAATACATATCTATTATGTTTAATTGTAGTAATCCATAAATACCTTGGGAGATAAAATACAGACTTGTCCTTATCATGCTATAATAGATGCAACAAAGCAGACTCTTAGTAATTTATGAAATGAAGATCCTCAGAGCAAAAAAATCTGAGGAATCAACTTTCACTGTTTCTAAAATACCACCTGATGATGTACCTGGAAGATCCCGAGATGAGGGGTAAAAAAGAAAAAAAACCTAAGTCAGGGATGTGATGACCTGTATTTCTCATGTCCTTATTGAGGACATTGAAGCAAAAGAAGCACCTAATAGAGTATAAGTAAGACCTATTTGATGGAGATACAGTTCAGTGGGTAATGTACTTGCCTCACATACACAAAGCCTTGGGTAAAATCCCCAGAACAGCATAACTGGGTGTGGTAGTTCACACCTGTAATCTAAACCATCAGAAGGTAAAGGCAAAAGGATCAGTTCAAGGTCATCACTGGTTAACATGAGGCCAGCCTGCGATATATAAGATCTATCTCAGAAGAAAGAAAAGAAGTCTATTTGTGTAAATGAGACCAATCAATGAGCATAACAGTCTTCCCGGCCCTCTAAAACTATCACTACCATAATGGTGTGATGACATGTCTTTTGTAAACAGGCTTTAGAAATAGGAATAAATATTAATCACACTAAGAGTTTTATTTAGCCAGGCGTTGGTGGTGCACGCCTTTAATCCAAGCACTGGGAAGGCAGAGGCAGGTGGATCTCTGTGGGTTTGAGGCCAGCCTGGTCCATAGAGTGAGTTCCAGGACAGTCAGGGCTACACAGAGAAACCCTGTCTCAAAAATACCAAAAATGGAAAAGAAAACATATGAAAGAGAAACAATACCATTGCAACAATAAGAACAATACAGTAAATTATTAATGCCACAATAATAAATCATTTTGGTTTTTTGTCTACACTTTATCAGAGAGCATTTTATCTTTATATAATTAGAACCATGTTATGATTATGTCACATTTCAGCTAGATAGATTCAGATTTTCAAGAGGGGAATAAAGAACAATACTGTGTTACACTCACCTTCTGCAAAATTTTCCATACTTTCTGATAAAATCCAACCGGTACTCTATTTAGTGCTCCATCTAATCTTCTCCTCCTCTGCCATTGACCTTGGCGACTATCTTTAGATGTCTGTTGACCACACACAGTAGGGAAGGATCCATTACTTGCAGTAGTACAGGCTACAGGGGACTTGGGAAAAGAAAGAATGTAAATCAAAGTGATCTTGTCCCTGTGACCAAGTATCATAACAGTTATATTTTAATTTCAAAACCTAAAAGTTATAAATGATGTATAGCAAAGTGAATAGTAAATACTCTATAGAATGAGAAAGCACATGAAAGAGGCCAAGTAATGATGTGACAGTAAAGCTAGTTAACCTCTGTACAGGCTGCAGTGCTGTAACTTTTTATAATCATTCAAAGTGATTTATTTGCTGACATTATAGTATAACTACTTCATTTCCCCCTTCCTTTTCCTCCCTCCAAAGTCTCTCATATATTCTTCTTTGCTCTTTTTCAAATTCATGGCCTCTTTTTCATTAATTGTTGTCATATACATATATGTATTCCTAAATATAAAAATACAACCTGGACAGTCTGTATAATGTTACTCATACGTATGTTTTCAGGGCTGATCATTTGGTACTGAATAACCAATTAGTGTGCTCTTTCCTGGGGAAATGTACAATCATCTTATAAAGCATGTTGGTGAGTCAGAGTAACAATGATGAAAACACCAATAACACAGGACATTCCAAACTGTCTGCTTATTTACCTTAAATCTGTTTAACTTCCAGCTGGTCTATGGTTTTATTTGTTACTCTCATGACTTTTTAACACAAGCATGTTACTTTTCTATTGCTGTGATAAAACACCATGACCATGGCAACTTATAAAAGAAAGCATTTAGTTGGGCTTATGGCTTCAGAGGGTTAAAGTTCATGATGGCAGACAGTGAAGGCAATAAAAATTCTAAGACAAATAGATGGGAGAAAAGATAGTCTTTTAAACAAATGGTGCTTAACAATTGGATATTCACTTGCCAAAGAATGAAGCTGTATTCTTATCTCATACCATATAAAAAATGGAAGCCCAAATAAATTGTTTAGGGGGAAAATGATAAAAAGCCCCCAAATAAATAAAAACCGCAAAAGGAAAATCAAAACAAACAAGCAAAAGACCCACAAGACAAAACCAAAAACCCCACACCCAAACAAAACAAAACAATAAGCCACATGAAAGCAAAAAAAGCAAAAATTAAAACCCCCAAACCCTGGGATGGTTCACCCATGGAGATCATTTTATGTTGGCATGAGGTCTGCCCTTGTGAGTGGCTAAAAAACAGTCAACAGAGAACAGAAGACAGAGGGCTGCTTTTGAAAATCATTTTTACAGGTTTGGCACTTGGACTGGAGTCTGGAAATGTGGGCTTTAAGAGGAATTATGTCAACACTGAAGTTTCTGTACAACACCTGCTTTCTTCCTGGGAGTCTGAAGTTTGGGATATGCCAGACAGCGGCTGTTTCCATGACCAGTCCCAAACAAAGACCCTGGGTTCTATGCTGCGTCTTTAATTAATTAGCTACTCTGGTTGACAGCACTGCACCTATGCTGTAATATGCCACTGGAGGGATTTTAGTGCATCCTATTTGGCTCTGCTGTGGAAGTATTCTAGAATCTTGTGGGGTTTTCCATGGGCTTCAGCCAGTGCACCTTTTCTTTTGCTGATTTTGTTGTTTATCCTTTTACTGCACTAAATCAGACATGAATGACTATATGATTAGTCCTGTGACTCCTAATAAATAACTGAGGCTGGGGTTGGTCTTAGGGAGTTCCCCTCTCAATATAATCATAGCCGGTGGGTACTGGGAATGGAACTCAGGTTGTCTGTAAGAGCAACAAGTGTTCTTAACCACTGAGCCATTTCTCCAGGTCCCAATTTGTTTTTTGGATATAGTTAAATACTATGCTATGATCCATATAACATCATGTCAAAGCACTTGTGAATGAAACATGAGATAACATAAGAACAGTTACCAGAAAGGATGGTGACATCACATCTATACCTGAGAGATGACCACCACTAGTCTATAAAAGAAATTGAGAAAATAAAATTTTTAAAGAGAGGCAAGGCAAACATAATTTGTTTTAAAAATTATTAGTATTAAACTATTGACTATTTAAGTAATTAGCCAGCATGTTATCATTAAAAAGCCAATGAAATAAGTTTACTCCAAATGCCATGACAAAGGGTAAAATAAATAAAACTATCCTGAAATATTTTCACCTAGAAATTAGAGTACTGGTAAGTGACAGAGAAAAAGGCAAAATACCAGACAGGCAGGTAAGGATGAAAAGCAATGTTATAAAATAAGAAAGCAATGACAATCTAGGCTCCCTATTCTCTAAATTATAGTCCTAACAATTTGGGCCTCTTTGAAGAATTATAGGTAGTAAATACATAGGAGAAAAACCTCAAGTAGCTAAAAAAAAAGTGAAGTTTAACCATCATATTCATCTAGCTGGCAATATGGACTTTGAATTTATAAGTAATACTGGATATTATAAAAACTACAATGTGAGCTGGGTGTGATGGTACATACCTTTAATTCCAGTACTCTGGGGGGCAGAGGGAGGCAGATTTCTGTGAGTTCAAGGACTGCCTGGTCTACAAAGAAAATTTTGGGACAGCCAGGCTACATAAAGAGACCTTGTCACAAGAAAACAAAACAAACTCCCAAACAATTGTCACACTCAACAAAAACAAGGATCATTAACTAATCACATCAAGAACAACTTTCAGCACTGAAGTTGTCCTTTCATTAAATAGTAAAAATGTTCATATAATTAAAATTTCCTGGCAAAACTGTAACATGAACACTCATTTAAAAACAGAGTAGCTCCAGCTGGGCAGTGGTGGTGCACACCTTCAATCCCAGCACTTGGGAGGAAGACACAAACTCTGTGAGTTTGAGGCCATCCTGGTCCACAGAGTAAGTTCCAGGAATGCTCCAAAGCTCCAGAGAAACCCTGTCTAAAAATACAAATAAGCAGCCGGGCGTTGGTGGCGCACGCCTTTAATCCCAGCACTCGGGAGGCAGAGGCAGGCGGATCTCTGTGAGTTCGAGACCAGCCCGGACTACCAAGTGAGTTCCAGGACAGCCTCCAAAGCCACAGAGAAACCCTGTCTCGAAAATAAAAAAAAAACAAATAAGCAAAAAACAGAACAAAACCAATAACAACAACAAACAAACAAAAAACCAAAACAGATTAGCTCCTTTTTTCTTTCAAACTATGTTTGATATTTTTATCTTATGTGTATAGATGTGTTTTGCACACATGTTTGTCTGTGTACCACATGCATACGGTGGCTATGAAGGTCAGAAAAAGGTTCCCTGGGACTAGAGTAACAGATGCTGTGAGTCATCATGTGGGTGCTTGGAACTGAACCTAGGTTCTCTAGATGAACAGCCAGTGCTCTTAACCACTGAGCCATCTCCAGCACCATCTTCTTATTCCAATCTCCCCCTTGTATAAAATATGAACTCCAAAGGATATTTAAGGAAAGTATTCAAGTTTCCTTCAAAAGTAGGCTTCAAGCACTGGCTTATTCTTCTAAATGGTTTCAGAGCCTCCCTTCAAAGAAACGAAACCTCTGTTTTGCCTCTTCCATCTAGGATGTTTTAATGTGTAAGCTATCATCATTATGCTTTGTAGGGAGGAGGTTTTAAGCCTTTTTAAAGAAGTGTTATTAATAACAACAGAAATGATCTCTAAGAATAATCTTTAGGTCATAGGCCCTATGAGAGAACTTTACTACTGTCATTTGTCTAAAAGAATATACTATCAAACTGCCCCCTACGGTCATACCAAGATTAATGCAAGAAGCTTATTTTTAAGTAGATGGTAGTTAATATAGAGACCCGCATCTGGCCATCATGAAGAGAATACGAGACTGGAACGCTCAGTCCTAATGGGACATCTCCATCACACAACCTCAAGGCTCAGGGATCACAGAAGAAGAGGGAGTGGAAAGATTTAAAGAGGGTCACTGGGAAACAGTCTTTTCCAGAAATGACATGGCTGTTGCACACATGAACTCATACCATGCACAAAACCAAATCAGCCAAAATCTAAGCATGGCTAGGGAGGGGCTCAGAAACTCCACTCCAAGATGAGGAGCTACTGGTAGTTGCTGGCTGCTGGAGGAGCGAAGGCCAGTTCTCTTCAGGGATGTAGCCCCTAAAAGGCTGCTCATGCTTCAGGAGACAGTCCTACATCCACACAATGCTAACAGCACTAAGAGGACTCAATGGGTTTGATAAAAAGCACATGAAGTTGTGTGAGGAAAGTTGAGAGGGATAATGGAGAAAAAGGTGGAGGGGAAGGACTGAGAATTAGGTTTGATAAAAACTGTATTATATGCATGTGTGCAATTCTGTAACAGTAAAAATGAAGTGCTACAAGAAGGGATTAAAGTAGCACTTTCTCAACCTGTGGATCTGAAAATACTATGATTTCCCAGAATTTTAAAAGATATTAGGTATTTCTTTGTATGATGCAACAAGCCATTCGTTGTTGCCCACAGTGAAAGGAGGCTATAATACATTGTTTGGTGACTCCTATTGATTCCTAGTACTGTGAAGATGTGTCTCCTCTTCATATATACGAATCATTCAATGGGCCTCTCTTATACTAATGAGAAAGTCTAATTTTGTGATAAAATCTCATGAAACTATCCTGTCATTTATTTTTACGGTGTTTGGGATGAAATCCAGGGCCTTGCACATGTTAACTCCCTCAAAAAGATCATAAAATAAAACTTTTATCTAATCTGGTATTCTCTCTAGTACTTTTTTTGTTTTATTGAGACAGAGTTTCTCTGTGTAGCTCTGACTGTCCTGGAACTCACTCTGTAGACTAGGCTGGCCTTGAACTCACAGAGATCTGCCCACCTCTGCCTCCCAAGCTCTGGGATTAAAGGTGTATGCCACCACCTGGCTTACCTATTCTATTTTATATTTAATTTTTGAAGAACTACTATATTTTTTAAAATTTTATGTGTATGCATTTTTTGCCCGTATGTGTAGTATGTGTGTGCCTGGTGCCCATGGAACCAGAAGAGGACCTCTAATCCTTTGGGTCTACAGTTAAGGATAGGTGTGAGCCACCATTTATGTAGTGAGAACTGAATCTCCATCCTCAAGTGTTCTTGACCACTGAGCCATCTCTCTGGCCCCATTTTAAAAAAGGATTTATTTATATTTTATGTGTTTGAGTGGTTTGCCTGTACGTACATCTGTGTACCACACACAGGCAGTGGAACACAGTACCAAATCTCCTGGAACTGGAGTTACAGACTGTTGTGAGCCAACATGTGGGTGCTGGGAGACAAAACTAAGTTCTCTGCAAGAGCAACCAATACTCCTAACTACTGATCCATTTCCTCAGCTAGTTATTCTTAAAAGCTTTAAGTGTGTTGTAATAAGGAAAGTCGGGGCATCAGTTTCTTGTTATCGGTTGCCAGCCACATTCCTCCTAAAATTAAGTCATTTGATCAGTAAAAAAGGGAAAGTTAGCTACAAACAATTGCTATGAGGGAGATTCCACGGTTTGTTATTACTTGTGGAAAGCTCTTAAGATCATGCATGGTGCCGGGCGTTGGTGGCACACGCCTTTAATCCCAGCACTCAGGAGGCAGAGGCAGGCGGATCTCTGTGAGTTCGAGACCAGCCTGGACTACCAAGTGAGTTCCAGGACAGCCTCCACAGCCACAGAGAAACCCTGTCTCGAAAAACCAAAAAAAAAAAAAAAAAAAAAAAAAAAGATCATGCATGGTATATGGAATTAAAGGCTGATTAAAATATGTTTAAAAGTCTTTGTTGTTTCACCTGATTCTCAGGAGAGATAGACAGTCTACGAAATTCCACCTGAAAAATAAATGGTTCAAGTTATACTATGGATATGAAACAAAATAAATTAGTACAATAATGACTGATTCTAAAAGGGTAAGTAAAGGCCAGTTAATGTTAAAAGATCTCTCGTTTCACCTGATTCTCAGGAGAGATAGACAGTCTACGAAATTCCACCTGAAAAATAAATGGTTCAAGTTATACTCAGGATATGAAACTAAATTAATTAACCTAACAAAGTCTGACTCCAAAATGATGTTTTGGTTTTGATTTTATTTTTGGACAGCTTCTCCAGTATTCCAGACAGGCCTCCATCTTGCTTTGTAGCTGAGGCTGCCAGACCCTGACCTCTTGATCCTCTGACTTCTACTCCTGCATGTGGGGTTATAGGCATGCACCATCACATCCAGCTAAGAATATTAATTATGACTACCTCAGTAATTTCCCAGGCTATATCTTACCTGCTTTATCTCACTTTTTAACTGCATGATTCCAGTTCGTTCTGTTTTTGTTGCTCCAACAGAGCCAATCTCATGGATGGAAATAGCAGGGCTCACATTTGAATCAGTGGGACGAACTGTATAGAATACAAGATCAAAGACAAAAGAATAACCTGTCTAATTTTCTCTACCATATTAAAAGACTTAAATGTGCATCTTTCTTTTGTTTTTAACTTAAAAAATGCCCTAGTGTAATCTTGCTAGACACCAAGCATACAGAATCAATGACAGGATCTAGTATGATACAATGGGGAAAATATAATGTAAAATATGGTATGGGTAGATCAATTTTTACCATACATAGGCGCTTATATTGGTGGAAGAAGTATGGTATAGTGGTATAGGAAAAGAATGTCTTATCTAAGTCTGCCCTTTACAGAGAGATTGAGACATGGGATCCTTTTGTAGAAAAAGGAACTGTATAAAAGCATGTCTTATAGACATGAAAGACTTGTCTGTATTTGAATATTGTTGTCCTTAAAGTATTATGACTGTGTCTACTACTTTTTTTTTGGTTTTTTTTCGAGACAGGGTTTCTCTGTGGCTTTGGAGGCTGTCCTGGAACTCACTTTGTAGACCAGGCTGGCCTCGAACTCACAGAGATCCGCCTGCCTCTGCCTCCCAAGTGCTGGGATTAAAGGCGTGCGCCACCAACCCCCGGCTTGTGTCTACTACTTTTTAACTTTGTAACTGTAAGTAGCTGCCAGCTGACATAAAGGCTGCAAGAGCAGAAATTAGTTAAGTCGCAAAAATGATGAACTCTATATCTAGGAATAAGGTCATGTATGGGGTAGGAAAGTGTATTTGGGGAAGCATAAAGAAGAACAATGGGGGTTTTATAATGATCACAGTGTATTCATTAAATTATGATGTAATTTTTAAAGTAGGAAATAGAAGCCAATAATAAAATTGTTCATGTACCCTTGGTAATAAAAACTCCGTTTAAGTATAAATAAAGATAGCCTGAGCTATTTGGGGCCACTTGAGTGCAATCCACTTGGTGATCATAAGTTTTCCTTGCCCCAACAGTCCTTCTGTTACTCAGGACCTGAACTGGAGCCAAGGCTGGACCCCAGCAACTACACACAGCTGAACAAGGAGGAAGATTTAGCTAATCTGCTATGGATGCTGTGGCGTCTCCATCAGAGCCCAATCCACTTATTTCAGCTTTTCTGTGTGTCTCTACTTATTTGTTTTTTCTTCACTCCCTCACCACTCCAGTCAGATCTGCTCCTGGAAGTCATTCAAGGACACAACAGACTTTAAAACCAAAACAAAACATGATAAAATCTGGCCATTCCTCCTTGAAAAAATAACATAAGATTAATAATTGAATATAGAGATAATTCTTTTTTAAAAACTTCGTTAGGTTCTTGTTCTCCTTATTTAGGTATACAGCATAAATAATGCTGCAAAACCCCAAAGAACAACTAGTTTTGATTGAAATATGCTGTATGTATGTACTAAAACAATGCTTGTAATCTTGGTGATACGTAAGATTAACACCTATTAATAAAAATGTATAAAGTGCATATGAAGATTAGCTTGTGGTTGGGCAGTGGTGACCCAAGCCTTTAATCCCAGTACTTGGGAGGCAGAGGCAGGTGGATCTCTGTGAGTTCGAGTCCGGCCTGATCTACAGAGAGAGTTCCAGGACAGGCTCCAAAGAAATCCTGTCGTGAAAAAACAAAAAAAAAAGTTTAGTTTGTGATAGACTCTTAGAGGTACTAGAATTTCAGGTTGAAAGGATACAGTAGGTAAGTTGCAACTGCGAACATGCATATTCACCAATAACATTATCAGTTTTACTTGGGACTTGAATACAATAAAGATTCAGACTAGGTTTTTAGTTGTCCTCCTGACTTAGGATAATGAAAGGTAATTTACTACATAGCTAAAAAGGAAACATGAGGACCAGTAAGATGGCTCAGCAGGTGCAAGCACTGGCTACCAAGTCTGATGACCTGAGTTCAATTACTGGGACACACATGGTGGAAGAAGAGAGCTAACTCCTGCAAGTTGTCCTGTAGCCTCCACACATGTGCTGTGGTATCCTTCCCCCAATACAGGCAGACAAACAATAATCAAATAAATGTAAGGACAATTTTAATGAAATGTGATAGCTATTAAACTACTTGCCATATCATTTAAGAAAAAAGATGAGTTACATATATGTTTCCAAATCTTTTTCAAAAGCGTGGTGTGTGTGTGAGAGAGAGAGAGGGAGACAGACAGACAGAGAGAGAGAGAGAGAGAGAGAGAGAGAGAGAGAGAGAGAGAGAGAGAGAGACAGACAGACAGACAGAGAGAGAGAGAGAGAGAGAGAGAGAGAGGGAGACAGACAGAGAGAGAGAGAGAGAGAGAGAGAGAGAGAGAGAGAGAGAGAGAGAGAGAGAGAGAGAGAGAGAGAGATTGGGGGACAGGGAGAGGGAGAGGGAGAGCCAGAGGGAGAGCAAGAGGGTGAGCCCTGTCTGTCATGGTGTACATGTGGGGGTCAGAGAAGAACCTTGAGTTTTGTTCCTTGACTTCTACCTTGTTTGAGACAGGGCCTCTCATGTTCAATGCTGCATGTACCAGGCTAGCTGGCCCACAAGCTTCTGAGATTATCCATCTCTGATCTCCCCATAGGAGTTCGCTGGTTAGTTTTGTTTTGTCAGTTTAACAGAAACTGGAGTCATCTGAGAGGAGGGAGCCTCACCTGAGATAATGTTTGCATCAGATGGTGTGTAGGGTAATTTTGACATTAATGATTCATGTGGGAGGCCCAGGACATTGTGGCAGGTGGTCCTAGGTGGCACCGAGAACTGAGTGAGCCATGAGGTGCAAGTCAGTGAGTATCACTCCTCCATGACCTCCACTTCAGTTCCTGCCATGCTCGAGTTCCCACTGTGTCCTCCCTCAGGGATGGACTGTGACCAGGACATGGAAGCCAAATAAACCCATCCTTCCCCAAGTTGCTTTTGGTCATGGTGCTTACCACAGCAATAAAAGCAAAGGAGGCCAGGCATGAGCTGGGGTTACAGACAAGCTGCTGAGCCCAGCTTTATATAGGTACTAGGATCCAAATTCAGAAGTGTGTGGTAAGTACTTTATACACTGAGCCATCGCCCCACTCCAAAACCTTTTGTTAAACTGAATTGTTTCTTTTAGTCTTCAAACGTCGTTCCAAAAGATAGCCTTGCTTTAAATGTTTAATTTATTTGGGGGGCTAAAAGCCTCTCCAATAGAAGAAAAACTGAGAATTAAAATGAAATACCCTGAAATATAAGTAATATAAGTTCAGTGCTTGGGTCTTACCGCTTCGTTCCACTCCAAACTCTTTGCCACTGAGAATGTGATGCAGGAGGTTCTTCATGGCTGAAGGACTCAGATTCATCAGGCCCTCTGTGGCTTCTTCAGCTAATGAACAGAAATGCAGGCAAAAGGAATTCTAGTTTGCATACCATATCCTCCTTATTTTCCATTTTCTCCTTGAAACAGCTCTCACTGTGTAACCTAGGCTAGTCTTTTTTTTTTTTTTTTTTTTGATTTTACGAGACAGGGTTTCTCTGTATTGTTTTGGAGGCTGTCAGACCAGCCCCGGCCTGGAACTCACAGAGATCCGCCTGCCTCTGCCTCCCGAGTGCTGGGATTAAAGGCGTGTGCCACCACCGCCCAGCACCTAGGCTAGTCATCTTTCTGCCTCAGTCTGTAAAGTGACAGAACTGCAGGCACACGTGACCACACTTGGTTTGCTCCTTTGGATGCGCCCTCTCCTCTCTCTACGATGGGGATTAGACCCTCTATTTCCTTTCTGTTTCTTTACTGGCAGAGACAGAATGATATTGTGTTCTCTAGTGAGTTGTTGTAAGGATTAAATAAGACAATGTATATAAACGTAAAACCAAATAACTTAGCATCTGGTAAATAATTAGCATAAAATCTTCTCTTCTTGAAGGATATATATAGGTAATCTAAGTACTATGGAGGTGAAGGCGAGAGGATCACAAATACAGGTAAACCTGAGCTACGTAAGGAACATTTCAAGTTTAAACAAATATAGACCATATTTATCTATTTCATTAATATGGATGTTTCCCTGCATGTAATCTATGTATCACATGCATGTAATGTTCAAGGAAGCCAGAAGAGGGCGGTGAATTTCTGGAACTGGCATTAACATGGCTGTTAGGCACCATGTGAGTGATAGGATTCAAACTCAGATTCTCTGAAATAGCAGCCAGTGCTCTTAATTGCTGACCCATCTCTCCAGCCCCACAGACAGAAAGCCTCGTGGGGAAGTGGAGAGATGGCTAAGTGGTTGTAAGCGCATACTGCTCTTGTAGAGGACCTGAGTTAAGTTCCCAGGAACCTGTACTCGCGTATGTACACACAAGCATGCAAATATACACACAATTAAAAATAAATACATTTAAAAACCCACTTTGGGAAATTTAAGAGAAACAAGTTTTGCATCTGTGATTGTATTTTCTATGCTGTCTCTAGTCATTCTTGTTGAAACTTTTTTAATGAAGAAAAAGTTATGCTGTGGGAATCTGTCCCATACCCCAACCCCCTTATACTTTAGGCATGTTTAACTCACAGCCTGTAGTACACATGTAGGATCTATAAACCTATTTAAATTTTTTGAGATGTTTTTGGAGATATAGTCTCAGCATATAGCCCTATGTAAACCAGGCTGGTCTCAAAATCACAAAGAGAACTATAATTAAAGGCATACAAATTGTGGGTTGTTTTTTGTTTTGTTTTGTTTTTGAGCTGGGGTATACTCTGTGTAGCCCCAGTGTCCTGGAACTTGCTCTATAGACTAGACTGGTCTGCATTCTTCTGTCTCCCAAGTGCTGGAATTAAAGACATGTGCCACCACTATCCTTCTCTGTTTTCTTTTTTTGTTGTTGTTATTTTGAGGCAGGGTTTCTCTGTAGTCCTAGCTGTCCTAGAACTCACTCTGTAGTGAGTGCAGGTTGTCCTCGATCCACCTGCCTCTGCCTCCTGAATGTTGGGATTAGTGGCATGTGTCACCACTACCTGGATTTTTTTCAAAACTCAATTACATGGCCCTCAAGCACAAACTTAATAGGTGACCAAGGTTGTATATCACTATCAAGGTTGGATATATCTGTATAGCTTCCTCAGGTCCCAATTATTTTCCTAACTACAAATGTTACACTGGCAAACCTATAAATAATTATCAAGTCATATTTGTTGTGGAATATTTGTTTTCATTGTGAAGATGTGTCTTTGCCAAGGCACCTTTGATGGGGGAAGTCCTTCTGTGTATATGTCTTGTCCAACTGGTTGATTAATAAAGTACTGTTGACCAATGGGGAAGCAAGATAGATGGGACTAGGAGTCAAAGAGGATTCTCAAAAATGTAGTCAAGAGTGGGGAGTCGCCATGTGATCCCGGGGAAGAGAGAACATGTCAGGATACTGTCCTGGGAAAGATAAGACCTTATAGAAATATATATTAGTAGTCATGGGTTAATACTTAAGACAGAACTAGCCAATGAGAAGCCCTGGACATTGGCCGATAGCATTGTAACAATAGAGTCTCTGTGTGTTATTTAGGGTTGATGAGGCACTGGTAGCAGGCTGGCGGGAAGAATACACATTACTTACCTTCTGATTGGTTTAATAAATGGCTGAATGGTCAATAGCTAGGCAGGAAGAGGTTAGGTGGAACTCTGGGGATAGAGAGGACTCTGGGAAGAATAAAGGTGGAGTCACCAGCCAGACACAGAGGAAGCAGGATGGGTAGTAAAAATATGAGGTAATGAGGCTCATGGAAGAATGTAGATTAACAATGTGGGTTAATTTAAGTTATAAGAAGTAGTAGGGCTGGGCGGTGGTGGCACATGCCTCTAATCCCAGCACCAGGGAGGCAGAGGCAGGCAGGTCTCTATGAGTTTGAGACCAGCCTGGTCTACAGAGCTAGTTCCAGGACAGCCAGGGTTGTTACACAAAGAAACCCTGTCTCGAAAAACCCAAAAAGAAAAAAAGTAGTAGTAGGAACAAGCCTAAGCTAAGGCCAAACTTTCATAAGTCCATGGATCTTCACTAGAAGTGAATTCCACCTAAAATTAGTTACTAAATTAAATAAATACCTGAGCATTGAAGAGAGTGGGCCAGTTCTGTTGCCATAACTTGTATGATCAGACCAATTCGAAGTCGGAACATTTCAGCAAAGAGGCCGGGCTGAGTTCTCATATACATTGCAAGATATACCATTATTTCCTGTGTATAGAATGGATATAAACAAAAGTTACAGCATATGTGTCACAAGGTCTATTTTGTTGCCTTTGTATATTGTCAGGTCAATTAAAAACAAATACTAAAATATCAATTGCCAGGCAAGGCTTTGTAATGCTGCCCACCTGTGTAAGGACTGAAATGTTCATGTCTCCTTCACTGGCTTCATCTATCAGCTTAGTGAGGGCCTCATATGGTAGAGGTCTAAGGAAGAAAACAGTGAATAAAGACCAAATTCTAAAATAATGTAACCTAAATATAGTTTAAAAATTAAAAACTCAGCCGGGCATTGGTGGCACACGCCTTTAATTCCAGCACTTGGGAGGCAGAGGCAGGCAGATCTTTGTGAGTTTGAGGCCAGTCTGGTCTACAGAGAAAGTTCCAGGACAGCCAGGACTGTTATACAGAGAAACCCTGTCTCGAAAAACCAAAAAAATTAAAATTAAAATTAAAAACTCAATGTAGGTCCAAACCACTGCTACAACCCTTCACCACTTTTAGTTATTTCAAAGCAAAAAGCTCATTCATTACCTCTGAGGCCCCATATAGCCATATTAACATAATTTTCATTTAAAACTCACTCCTTGATGTCTTTTCAGACCAGTCTTTATATGGTTAATCTTTAATATGTGACAAGAAAGCATACTGGCTATTTTTATGCTGTGCCCTTTGGAAAACATTTTATTACTTTATAGTCACATCTTACAGGATTATGCTGATCTTTCAAATAGTTTCATTGGTTCAGTACAGTTGCAAACATATATGCAGACACATACATACATTCACATTTGTGACCTTTCTGTGAGTGGTCTTTTTGTTGTATTTTTTGGGGAGGTGGTTTGCTTGTTTTACATAGGATTTTGCCATGTAGCCCAGGCTGACATTAAATTGTTGATCTTCCTGCCTCGGGTCTCTGAATGCTGGAATTAGAGACAGACATCACAACATCTGGCTACACCCGTGGCTCTCTCATTGATGTAAGATTTTATTTTTAATTGTGTCTTTGTGTGTATGTGTGGGGGGTGGTATGCGCAGAAGAGTGCAGGTGCCCTCAGAGGTCCAGAGGTGTTATTCCACTCCCAACTCCTCTGAAGCTGAAGTTGCAAGGAGTAGTGAGCTGCCTGAGATGGGAAACAAACTTAGATCCTGCAAGAGCAGTATTCCATCTCAACTGTTGAGCCATCTCTCCAGTCTTGACATGGTGTAGTTTGCAAGAATTTGCCAAAGCATTATTCTTTTGGAATGCCTACAGTGACACAAAACTGATCTTATTTGTGATACAAGGTTCTGTTTGTTAAAAACAAGGCATCACAGGTTAAACTGCATCTTAGCATTCATATGTTGAAATTCAAAGCTTTAGTACCCCAGAGTGTGATTTTAATGGAAAATATGCTATTTAGAAGTGATTAAAATGAAGTTATTAAGATCGTTCCTGATCTAATGTGACTGGTGTCCTTATAAAAAGTGGGAAATTTGAACATAAAGACATAGATATGATGAAAAAATAAGAAACATAAGAGGAAAACAGCCATGTACAAGCCAAGAAGCCTAAAATAAAGTCCTTAACAGCCTTCAGAAGGAACCAACACTTCTGACACTGTGAAACTGTCATAACCTCAATTTCTGTTGTTTGAACCACCCATTCTGTGGTATTTTGTTACTATGGCAGTCCAAGCAAAGTTAGCCAAACTATCTTCCTAAAGTATAACTAAGACTTTACTTGTCTCTGTAAGCCTCTATCCACAACTCTGAACTGGATCTCATAGGCAGCTGAAATCATACATATGAACTGGGAATGAAGTGGTGTAAGAAGATTGAAAGTCTAGGGAATACGGTGAGACTGTTTCAAAAACTAATCAATAAAAAATCAACCCTAAGTCAGGCAGTGGTGGCACACACCTTTAATTCCAGCACTAGGGAGGCAGAGGCAGGCAGATCTCTGTGAGTTTAAGGCCAACCTGGTCTACAAAGCTACACAGAGAAACCCTGTCTGGAAAACCAAAGAAAAAAAAATCAACCCTTTTTTACTACTCTGGTTATTGAAGTAGAACTGACAGGCTGGCGGGTGTGTGTGTGTGGGTATGTTGCTTTTAGATCATTCTTTTATAGGAAACCAGACTGATTTCTGATCACTTACGAAGTTAGAATCCCTCTAAAACATTTCTTACAAATACAATCTGCTTGTATAAATATTGGCACTAGAATAACATAAAATTAAATCGACTTTATGCAGATGAGCTTTATTGGCATGGCTAATGATAAAGTGATATTCATGTGTAGGAATTAAACTTCTACTGTAGCTGTTCCATTCCTCACTCCCTCCAGCCCCAGCCTATCCTAGGGGACTACTGCTAATCAGAAGCTGCATCCCACTGGCCAGTGGCAATAGGTTGATAGTTTTCATGCAGACATACTACTTCAGGATGCCCATTTCCTCTTTCAACGTTGACCTTCACATGTTTGATGCCTTCTTCAGCAGCGTGAAGCTGCATCAAGAGCAGCCAATGCATTAGCCACAGACTTTCTTCTATTTCTTTTCTGACTATGACCGAACAACATTCATGTTGTTAATTCCTAATGTCCTGTGTATTTGTGTGTTTTTAGAATGAGTAGAATAAAGGGATTTAGGAAAAGCCAATAAGAAAATATAAGTATTACTTCCTATAAGCTTTCTCTTTCATTTACTTGTGCCCTGTTATGCAGCTCTGCATATAAGATGTTATACAAAATAGGGCAAGAGAACTATTGTAAGTCTTAAAGGTGCAGAGAAACCTTATCAAAGTCTGATCACATGGCCCACTTACGCAGAGATGGTTTTCTCTCGAGGCTCTGGAGGAAGTCCTACCGTCAGGTGCTTCTGGTGGGAGAGAAGGTCTGTGCAGGCCTAGGAAGAGGTAGGATAGCTTACCCTTTCCAAAACTTTCAGATTTCCAAACATTTTTCTTCTCAGCCCACAAAACTTTACCCCCACTTAACTTACACCAGCACACCAAGCTCTCCTTTTCATGAAACATGATCAGAAGACAGATTTCTAGGAAGAAACCATGAAGCCCTTTCACCTTCTGGAAGGCGGGGACTTTCAGCTTACTGTAAAATCACTAAGATCTCAAATTCTTACAGTTTATAACACCTCTAAAGTCTGTAGTTCTTATGATTCAGTAACATTTACTTGCCATTCACAAATAAAAAGCTAACTGAATAGCAGAAACTTTATGTGTGATTGAAAACAATTAGAAGTTCTGGTTGCTTTAAAAAAGACAATTAGGAAAAAAAATCAAGGCTTATCCCCTGCAGTGCAAAGACTTGGACGAGGATCTCAGGAACACTAGGAAGGTACCTCCTTTTGTGCTATACTCCCAGCACTGGAGTAACTTTAAAAGTATCCCCCATTTAGATTTGGTGTAAATTCAAGAACTTATCAGTACCTCATCAAGTGCCTCCACCTTCTTCCTTAAGATCCCAGAGGTGTATCGGATCAGACCCCAGTGTCGAATTTCACCAACTTTGCCATATAGTTCACTAAGAAGCTCCCTGACAGTAGCACCCCCTTCTTCATACAATTCAGTGTCCCAGTCAGGTCCTCTGGAATTTAAAGATGGGAGTACATTAAACATGTCAAAAATTTTCTTTTTGTGGATATGCCTGTTTTGGTCTCCTTTAGTAGAAAACTATTTACTAAAAACACTTATAAAACTGTAATTAAGAGTCAATCTTGAGCCGGACATTGGTAGCACACGCCTTTAATCCCAGCTCTAGGGAGGCAGAGGCAGGCGGATCTCTGTGAGTTTGAAGCCTGGTCTACAGAGCAATTCCAGGATAGGCTCCAAAGCAATACAGAGAAACCCCATCTCAAAAAACCAAAAAAGAGTCAATCTTGAAATTCAAATATCGTAGACAAAATTTTTGTAATTTATTAGCTATGCTTTGACACACTACATTCTTTTACCCATATCTCAAGTTTCAACATGACTGAAATTAAAAATATATAACTGCTCCAAGTTCTGAAAGCATGCTGTATTTTAAGAATCAACAACATAGAATTTATTTGTGTTGAAAGGACACAGATACATGATTGTTATACAAGTACTGTTACACAAAACAACAGTGAAAACTTATCTGGAATTTGGAATTTAGTATATGATAAATGTAGATTACTTATTAAATGATATTAAAAGCATCAAGTAGCTATCTGGAAAAAGTTGGCTTGGTGCCTGAAAGTCTGTATCTTGGCATATAAATATTAAAGTGCTAAAACACATATGGGAAATTAGCTCATAATGCTGGAAGGAAGAGGATTTTCTAACTATGAAACATAACCAAAAGCCACAATGTGGAGTTCAATAAGTTTACACATATAAAACAATAAAGAGTTCTTAATGAAAAGACACTATATAAAGTGTAGGACAAATTATAAAACAGACAAAATATTTGTAATTAATAGGCCAATTTCTGCTAAAAAAAAGAACTCCAAATAAAGTAAAAAACAACATAAAATTGGGCAAAATAAACATTCGTGCCTCATAAATATAGAAGGCAGGCAACCTCACATGTAACAAGAAAAATTAAAATGAACAATATATCAAGATAACATTTTATTACATCATGATGTTAAAAAGCCCCAAATTAATGTGACTTATCACTTAAACAGTCCCTTGTGGGAGTGAAAATTGGAACAGTGCCTCTGGAGGGCTATTTGCTAATATCAGAAAGAGTCTAACAGGTCTTACAATGGTTAAAGACAGAGTTACCATGAAGCTCAGCATTTCCTCTTTTGGTTATATATCCAAGAGAAATGAAAGCATGTCTGCATTAATGTGGGGACAACAGACCTTGGCCAGAGACCCACTTCCCCATCAGCCTGGGACCAGGCAGCTGTAAGAAAATGTTTACTAAAAACATGTTTACTAAAAACAATACAATGCCCAGGGCAATAAGTTCCTGAAAAGGGCTGGCCGACGGGAACACCCTGACCTCGACCTTTTCCAAAGACTAACCACCTCTTCTGACACACCCAAGTCAGTTTCTAGTGTCAGGGCAGAACCAGCCAGGGGTAAGACAGGGAGCAGAAGCTTTTCTGGAGGGAAGCCTTTCTTGGGAAGTCTTCTTGAGCCTTTTTGGGACCTGCTTAAAGTTTTCTTTACATCGTTGACTGGTCTCTGTGTCATCAATCCTGACACCCTCTGCACATTCTCAGATACAGGCTGTGCAGCAGACGCAGCACATTAACTTACATATAAATATTTATACTACCAATATTCACAAAACATGAAAACTAACGATGACCCAAGTGCCCATCAAGTGATGAATAAAGAAAATATACTCTAACCATACAGGCAGTATTTGCCAGTAATGAAATGATGTACTGATATGTGCTAGAGCATGGAAGACAAGCCATTAAATACTACACTAAATGAAAGATGCTTGTCACATAGGACCACGAAGTGTATGATTCAGTTTACAGAAAAATCTCCCAAACACCAGAAAGTGAACTCATAGTTGACTAGGGCTGGGTAAATGCAGGGATTGGGAGTTGATAGATAAAGGATATACAGTTTCTTTTGGGGTTAATAAAAATATAAAACAGTGGAGAATGATACATAATACTTTTGAGTAAACAAAAAGCAACTGGATTACACAATTGCAGACAGAGTTTCATGTAGCCCAGGCAAACTTCACAGCCAAGGATGACTTTGAATTCCTGATTCTCTTGCCTCCACCTCCCAAGTGCCAGATAGACATGCACCACTAAACCTAGTTAAAAGTACCAACATATTTTGATCTATCAATCAATTTAACTTGTGGTTTAACTATGGAATAAATTCTTTCCATATATATGAAGCAATTTTGGTTAAGAGGTTATTTACTACAAACACTGTTATAATGAATGACTAGGAAATACCCAGTCAAATAAATTATAATATATCTAAATAATACAATTTTACACATCTATTAAGAAAATAAAATGTAGATACCAATGCTCCTACAAACAACCCTAATGTAATTTATTGAGTCATCAACAAAAAGACATGGAAGAGCTGGGTGTAGTGCACACACCTTTAATCCCAGCATTTGGGAAGCAGAGGTAGGGAGACCTCTGTGAGTTTAAGATCAGTCTGGTATACACAGAAAGTTACAGATCAGCCAGGACTAGATGGTGAGACTCTGTCTGTCTGTCTGTCTTTCTCTCTCTCTCTCAGCCCAGTTATGAGGCAAATGGTTGGTCCCACGCGGCTGCCATGATCTGGTACTTTATCACAGACCCCAAAGCAATAGGGACAACCAATCATGGAATCAAACTCCCCAAAACCATGAGCCAAAATAAAACCTGTTTTTTACTTTTTCATATGAAAAAGAACAATTTTATATAGTTAAAATAATCAAATTCAGGTTATTATTTAAAGGCTTTTTATACTTTTTACCCTTGAATAATAGTTAAGGATAACTAGGTGTCTAACATAATACAAACAATATTAAACATGAGTAGAAACCTGATCTTTCATTAGAGAAAAAAATACAAACTGTTAAATTCTTTTTCTTTTTTATTATTATTTTAATTTTAAATAGCTTGTTTTACATGTCAATCCCAGTTCCCTCTCCCTTCCCTCCTGCCACACCCCTCTCCATCCCCCCCAGCCTCCCACCCTATTGCCAATTCCTTCCACATAGGGAATATGTAGAGTCTGTCATTTCACTCAGGGTAGGGTCCAGGCACTCCCCTAAGAGTCCAGGCTGAGAGAGCATCCCTCTTTGTGCTATGGGTACACGATGACTGTTTGTATTCCAGGGATAGACACTGATCCACTGCTCAGGGCCCCATAGGTTGCCCAGGCCTTCTCAGTGACACTCACACTCAGTGGGTCCAGATCAGTCCCATGCTGGCCTCCCCGCTATTGGTCTGGGGTCCAAGAACTCTCCCCTGTTCAGATCAGCTGTCTCTGCTGGTTTTGCCAGCTCATTCTTTGCCAATTTGCTCATCACTCCTCTCTCTCTGTCACTAGGTTCCATGAGTTCAGTTCAGTGTTTAGCTGTGGGTGTCTGCCTCTGCTTCCATCAGTCACTGGATGAAGGCTCCCAGATGGTTATAGACATCAAGTTCATTATCAGGAATGGGCATTCAAGGTGGTATCCCCACTATTGCTTAGCTTGCCAATTGGTGTCATCCCTTTAGATCACTAGAGGTCACACTGGTGCCTGATCTGTCTTCTAACCTATGATTCCCTCTTCCCCCTGTCCTACCCCCCAATCAACCTTCCTGTTCCCCCATGACCTACTCTCTCTTCCTCTTCTCCCCCCTCTCTATTTCCCAGGTCCCACTCCCTCCCCACCCCTTGCCGTGTTCCCCATCTGTTCAGAGAGAGGATATTGCCTCATTTCTCTTCTCTTGGGAACCATGCATATCTTTTAGGTTCTTTCCTGTTTCCCAGACTCTCTATCAGTGGAAGTGCAGACTGGCACTCTCCTGATCCATGTTTAAAATCCATATATGAGTGAGTACATACCATGTTTGTCTTTTTGTGACTGGGTTACCTCACTCAGGATGGTTTCTTCCAGTGCTATCCATTTACCTTTGAATTTAAAGATTCCATTGTTTTTTTTTCTGCTGAGTAATACTCCATTGTGTAAATGTACCACATTTTCTCTATCCACTCTTCAGTTGAGGGGCATCTAGGTTGCTTCCAGGTTCTGGCTATTACAAATAATGCTGCTATAAACATAGTGGAGCAGATGCCCTTGTTGTATGAATTTGCCTCTTTTGGATATATGCCTAAGAGTGGAATTGCTGGGTCTTGTGGCAGATTGATTCCCATTTTCCTGAGGAATCTCCATACTGATTTCCAAAGTTGGCACTCCCACCAGGAGTGTTCCCATCTCTCCACATCCTCTCCAGCATAAATTGTCTTTGGTGTTTTGATTTTAGCCATTCTGACAGGAGTAAGATGGTATCTCAGAGTTGTTTTGATTTGCATTTCCCTGATGGCTAAGGATGTTGAGCACTTTCTTAAGTGTCTCTTGGCCATTTTAACCTCCTCTATTGAGAATTCTCTGTTTAGTTCTGTATCCCACCTTTTAATTGGATCCTTTGGTGTTTTGGAGACTTGCTTCTTAAGTTCTTTGAAATTTTTGGAGATTAGCCCTCTGTCAGATGTGGGGTTAGTGAATATCTTTTCCCATTCTGGCTGCCTTTTTGTCTTGTTGACTGTGTCCTTTGCCTTACAGAAGGTTTTTAGTTTCAAGAGGTCCCGTTTGCTAATTGTCTATCTCAGTGTCTGTGCTACTGGTGTTATGTTCAGGAAGTGGTCTCCTGTACCAACTTGTTGAAGAGTATCTCCCACTTTCTCTTCTAAAAGTTTCAGTGTGGCTGGATTTATGTTGAGATCTTTGATCCATTTGGACTTAAGTTTTGTATAAGGCGATAAACATGGATCTATCTGCAGTCTTCTGCATACCAGTACCCAGTTATGCCAGCACCATTTGTTGAAGATGCTTTCTTTTTTCCATTGTATAGTTTTAGCTTCTTTGTCAAAATTCAAGTGTTCATAGGTGTGTGGGTTAAAATCAGGGTTTTCAATATGGTTCCATTGGTCTACATACCTATTTTTGTGCCAATACCAAGCTGTTTTCAGGAGTATAGCTCTATAATAGAGCTTGAAGTCAGGTATGGTGATGCCTCCTGAAGTTCCTTTATTGTATAAGGTTGTTTTGGCTATTCTGGGCCTTTTGTTTTTCAATATAAAGTTGATTAATGTTCTTTCCAGGTCTGTGATAGGGATTGCATTGAATTTGTAGACTGCTTTTGGCAAGATTGCCATTTTTATTATGTTGTTCCTACCAATCCAAGAGCATGGGAAATCTTTCCCTTTTCTGGTATCCTCTTTGATTTCTTTCTTTAAAGACTCAAAGTTCTTGATATACAGGTCTTTCACTTCCTTGGTTAACATTATCCCCAGATATTTGATGCTGTTTATGGCTATTGTAAAGGGTGAGGTTCTCTGATTTCTTTCTCAGTCACTTCATCATCTGTATATAATAGGGCCACTGATTTTTTTGAGTTTACCTTGTATCCTGCCACATTGTTGAAGGTATTTATCAGCTCTAGGAGTTCCCTTGTGGAGTATTTCGGGTCACTTATGTAAGCTATCATATCATCTGCAAATAGTGAAAGCTTGACTTCTTCTTTTCCTATTTGTATCCCCTTGATCTCCTTTTGTTGTCTTATTGCTGTAGCTAGGACTTCAAGTACAATATTGAAGAGATATGGAGAGAATGGACAGCCTTGTCTTGTTCCTGATTTTAGAGGAATTGCTTTGAGTTTCTCTCCATTTAGTTTGATGTTAGCTGTTGGTTTACTGTATATTGCTTTTATTATATTCAGGTATGTTCCTGTTATCCCTGATCTCTCTAGGACCTTTATCATGAAGGGGTGCTGGATTTTGTCAAAGGCTTTTTCAGCATCTAGTGAGATGATCATGTGGTTTTTCTTTCGCAGTTTGTTTATATGGTGGATTACATTGATAGATTTTCTAATATAAATTCTTTATTGTATTCTTAATTACCAAAAACAAAATAATTTTATGAACTATGTTAAAAATGAATTTGAAGCAGAAGAAAAACCAGTAAAATGGTTATATATCAATATACTTTTCTGTTAAATACTAGTATTAGGTGCTAGAGAGTATGCTTAGCAGTTATAAGCATTTGGCTGCTCTTCCAGAGGACCAGGGTTCAATTGCCTGCACCGACATGGTGGCTCACAGCCATGTATAATTCTATGTATAATTCTAGTTCCAGGGGATCTGACACTCTCTTTTGGCTTTGGAGTACACAGACATAAATGCAAGGAAAACACTCATACACATAGAATAATTAAATAATTAAAAACAAATATTAAAATAAGGAATATTTTAAGCTCTAGAACGGAACTTTTCTTTTAATAAGGTAATTGTCACAGGTATTTGTATAAAATGAAAAGTTGACAAACATGCTATACTGTTGGCAAAAGTTTCTGTCCTGCTAGTAGCTCCCATATAAACAGACTGAGGCTTATATTAATTATAAAAGTTTGGCTGATAGCTCACGCTTATTGTTAACTAGCTCTTGTAACTTAACTCATTTCTATTAATCTATGTATTTCCACGTGACTCGTGGCTTTGCCTGTCCTCCAGCATATCTTGCTCACTCTGTGTCTCCTGGCAACTCCACTGACTCTGCCTTTCTTCTTCTCAGCATTCTCAGATTGGCTATCTCACCTCTACTTCCTGCCTGGCTACAAGCCAGTCAGTTCTTATTAATCAATGAGAGCAATATATATTTACAATGTACAGAATGATTATTCCACAGCATTATACTTTCTCACAATATGGGTATTAAAGTATACCAATAATATCCATCACTTACTTCAGTGAATACAGCATGTAGAGTATATCAGCTTGCTCTTGTAAGCTTGAGGTCTCCTTCAACTGTAAAACCAGTGACTGAAAGTCCACTTCCCCTGACTGGTCTCTAGGAAGATGTACTTCTACACGAACAGAAGGAACCTTTGGAATAAATGATAACAACAAACTAAGCTAACAGTGTTTAACTAGATGATCCCCTAGAATTAATTATCTTAACACCTCTAAACTTTTTCTGTAACAATTTTCACAGTATGTACTCACTCATAAGTGAATATCAGACAGAAGGTAAAGGATAACCAGGCTACAATCTACAACCCCAGAGAAGCTAGGAAACAAGGAGGACCCTAAGAGGGACATACATGGAGTGCCCCCGGAAGGGAAAACAGTTATGATCTCCTGGGTAGACTGGGAGGTGGGGTGAATGGGAGGGGATGGGGGATGGGAACATGAGGGATTAAGAAGACAGAGTTAGGGGAAGGACCAAGAAAGAGAGGGACAGAGGGGGAAAACAAAGAAAGAGATATCTTGATAGAGGGAGCCTTTATGGGGTTAGGGAGAAACCTGGTGCTAGAGAAATTCTCAGGAATCCACAAGGATGACCCCAGCTAAGATTCCTAGCGATAGTGGAGAGGGTCCCCAAACCCTTCCTCTATAATCATATCAGTGACTACCCTAATTGTCATCATAGAACCAGTAACTGATGGAAGCAGATGAAGTGACCCACAGCCAAGCACTGGGCTGAGCTCATGGAGTTCAGTTGAAGAGAGGGAGGAGGGATCATACGAACAAGGAGGTCAAGAGCATGATGGGGAAAACCACAGAGACAGCTGACCCGAGCGAGTAGGAGCTCATGGACTATGTATTGACAGCTGGAGAACCTGCATGGTACCAAACTAGACCCTCTGAATGTGGGTGACAGTTATGTGGTTTGATCTTTGGGTGGGGGGAGAGTCTTGGTCCTGCCTCAACTCGATATGTCAGACTGTGTTGACTCCCCAAAGAAGGCCTTACCCCCTCTGAGATGTGGATGGGGGATGGTGAGGTGGCAGAAGGGGAGGGAGGGATAACTGGGGTTAGTATGTAAAATGAAAAAAAAAACAACAAAGTTTCTAAATGTTGGCCAGATGTGGTACTGCATACCTGTAACCCTAGCATTTGAGAGGTTAACACAACAGGATCAGGAATTCAAGTCCATCCTTATCTACATAGCAAGCTTAAGGCCAGTCTGGGTTATTTGACACTCTGCCTCACAATTTTTTTCCCAAAATGTTGATGAAAAACAAAAAAACCAACAAGCTCTATGATAGTGTGAAACAATTTTCTAAGTTTACTTTAAGAGTAAACTTAAAAAGACATGTATCTTCATTTGATAGTATTTTATTTAATACCATGTAATGGCTGGTTTTGTGTCAACTTGACACAAGCTAGAGTCATCAGAGAGGATGGAGCCTCAGTGAAGAAAATGCCTCCATGAGATCCAACTATAGGCCTTTTTCTCAATTAATGACTGATGTTGGAGGGCCTACCCCATTGTGGATGGAGTCATCCCTGGGCTGTGTTCTATAAGAAAGCAGAAGGACAATCCCCAGCAGGACACAGGAAAGTGACTGGTGAACTTGCTAAAACAAGATGGGACAGTTCTGAAGGGTTCCTGTTTCATGTAAGAGTCTGCAAGACAGGGGCTGGAGAGATGGCTCAGCGGTTAAGAGCACTCACTGACTGTTCTTCCAGAGGACCTGAGTTCAATTCCTGGCAACCACATGGTGACTCACACCCACCTTGAATGAGATCTGGTGTCCTCTGCTGGCATGCAGAAGATTGTATACATAATAAATAAAATACTAAAAAAAAAAGAGTCTGCAAGACATTCTGCAGGACACAAAGAAAAATGACTGACAAACTGCCAATACAGGTGGACATTTTAAAATTTCCTGTTTCACTGAGAAGTCTGCCAGACACACTAGGCCTATGGGCTGAAGATGGATGCTCCAACATTACAGAACAACTTTGAGTGACTGTCCAGGCAGCAAGATGTCTCTGTTAATTATCCTTCTGTGATCTTTGTCGGAGTTGAAGACAGTTATGTTTATGTTTTCCTTAGTTATGATATTAGATAAGTTACATATAAAACTTTAGACTCACAAAGATAGATGATAGAATATTTTCTTTAAATTTTACCAAATGTTAATGAACCAAATATTGTTAACTACAATTCTTACTTGATAACTGTTTTGTTACATATAATTTTACTATGTTAAAGTTAAAACCCTTCTTTTTATTTAGACAGAAAAAAAGATGATGGGGCTGGGCGTTGGTGGCGCATGCCTTTAATCCCAGCACTTGGGAGACAGAGGCAGGCGGATCTCTGTGAGTTTGAGGCCAGGCTGGACCAACAGCCTCCAAAACAGAGAAACCCTGTCTCGTAAAACCAAAAAAAAAAAAAAAAAGATGATGGGGGTTGTCCTTCTATGTACATGCTTCTCTTATTGGTTGATGAATAAAACACTGTCTGGTCAATGAGGCAGGAAGAAAGACGAGGATGAGGAGAATTCTGGGAAATGTTGGCAGAGTGAGCCCACCATACACAGAGTTGCGATGCTTCCGAAGGAGTCACAACATGCCGGGGGATTACCGGGTAAGCCATAGCCTTGTGGTAATACATAGATTGATAGAAATGGGTTAATAAGTAAGACAGAGTTAGCCAATAAGAAGTCCTAGTCATCGGCCAACAGTTTAATAACTAATACAGCATCTGTGTGTTTATTTGGGCCTCAAGGATGGCAGGACCAGTGGGGACAAAGAACCTCTTGGTATACATACTGGTTATTTTTGTTTGTTTGTTTGTTTTTCGAGACAAGGTTTCTCTCTTTGGAGCCTGTGCTGGAACTCACTTTGTAGACGAGGCTGGCCTCAAACTCAAAAGAGATCCTCCTGCCTTCACCTCCCGAGTCCTGAGGCCCAGAGTCAGGCAAGAAAACACCAAAGTGCTTGCCCATGTGGGCCTTGAAGTTACAATGAAAAAATATGTAATGGAGAAATGGTAAAGATAGAGTACGTGGTGGGGAGATTGAAGAGAAACAGAGAGGTTTGTGTGCTGTGGAAAGAGGTGGATGTGGAGATAGGATGGCAGTGAGGAACAAGCTGACATGAGGAACCTGCATAACCACCTGAGGCCATGGTGATGTCGAGGTTTGGCTGCCAATGAGGTCCATGTCAGGGTCTGTGGGCCTATAGCAGCTGGGGTCTATATTGATGTCTTGGCCTGTGTTCCCACGAGGGCCATTCAGATGTCTGTGGTTTGGGTTGGTGCCTGAGGCCATGCTGATGTCCTGAGCCATGTTGCTGCTGGGGGTGGCGGGGGGGGGGGGTATGGGTGTGGGTGTCAAAGTGATCCTATTAGTTTATGCTGCCACCAGAGGCCCTGGTGATATCTGGTCCTCTGGGTCCATAGTCCTACTGCAGCTGGGGTCTGTGTTGATACCCATGGCCCACATTACCTGCTGCCTGAAGCCATGTTGATGTTCAAGGGCTGTCCTGCTGCCTGTGGGCCATGTCTAGGTCTGTGGTCCTAACCTGGTGGGGTCTGTTTGATGTCAGAGATCTGGGTTACCACCAAAGGCCATGTGGATATCTATGGTCTGGGCTTCTGCCTGAAGCCATGTTGATGTCCAAATACTGTGCTGAGCTAGCCTGTCCCTCCTTGGGGTGGTGTGAAGGAGTTTGCCCCAAACACATGGCTGCAGGAGAACTACCACCCGGGCCCAGATCCAGGACCTTGAGTTGGCCCACCCCAACATCTACCCCATCTATGACCTGCTGGAGAGCATGAAGGGCCTGGTCCTGCAGAACCAAAGCCACAGGATCTCCACAACTCTGGGCAACATCAAGATGTCTGACAGGAGTCTTGGTGAAGGTCCAGTATTGATGGCATAGGAACCTGACCAGTGAATGACTCCTCACATGAATATTTGCAAGTAAAGCTGTTTGGGCAAAGGGGTATAGTCTGCGTAATACACCACTGCTTCACACACCACGATGATGAACAAATATGTGATGGAGAGGCAAGAAAGACACAGAGGGTAGACTGGTACGTGCACTGTAGAACTGGAGGTGCCATAGCTGGGACCGGTATGAGAGGAGCCTGACACTGATAGAGGAACAGGTGGCTGCCCAGAGGGGTTGGCCAAATGTTTTGTTTTCTTTTTTTTCTTTTGTTTGGGAGGCTTCAAGGGTGGAGGGCAGATATGGGAGGACTGGGAAATGATTGGGATTGGAGTGCAAGATGTGAAATTACCAAAGAATCAATAAAAAAGATGGCAGATTTATAAAAAAAGCTGACAGAAATATGTGCACAGTTACCTGGTTATCTTGAGGAGACGGAGGTGAGTCCAGTAAATTGAGCAAAGGACGAGAAGGTTGAAATAACGTTGTAGGAAGGTACATGGGAACATCTATAAGAAGTTGACGTTTATGGAAACAGTTAAAATAACTAGGAAAATATTAAAATACATGGTTGACATCAGCAATAAGGTAATATATGGATCAGTTCTCTACAGAACAAAATGCTGAAAGTTTCCTTCATTGATATCAATAAAAAGAAATGTGGATATTAGGTAATATTTATTTATTTATTTGGTTTTGCGAGACAGGGTTTCTCTGTATTGTTTTGGAGGCTGTCGGTCCAGCCTGGCCTCAAACTCACAGAGATCCGCCTGCCTCTCCCTCCCGAGTGCTGGGATTAAAGGCGTGCGCCACCACCGCCCGGCTAGGTAATTTTTAAAGTATCCAATTCATTGATGACTATTTTTATATTTTTGGAAGGATTTTTCCATAATTGTACCATCAACTAGACATATGAGACACTGTATTTATTAACATTATCACTATCACAATGATGCTACATCACTGATACTTTCACATAAACATATAAAAGCACATAAGAGAAAGAACTCAGTTACATTTTACTTTTTCTGGGCTTTCCTGAGAAAATATTTGATTTCCAGAGGTTGCAACTGGATGATTCTATCTAGGGGATCAAAAAACATGTAGTGGCTGATCAACTTTGAGATGTTCCTAAGATGTTTTACTTACATAGTGAAAATACTCAACCATAGCCTCTATAAGGACTGACCTGCATGTCATTTCCACCATTTTACACAGAGAGACAACACAGAGCTCAAATAACTTGTCAAGCAAGTAAATAACAGTGCTGGGAATTAAATTCTGGTTTCCTGATTTACAAATGACAAATGCAACTTAATGAACTTAAGTTCATGTCTTTGCAAAAACCCTTTCTATAGGGAGCATAACCAAAGGGTATACTAAGTTTTTCCTTGGCTCAATGTTAAACAATACCCTAGTGCTCACATTTAGTATCTGGTTAGTAATTGTCAATGAAAATTTAGATAGCAAGAGCATGCATCTCAATCATTCTCATCCTCTGTATAATGTAACATTCAGGTCATCTAGGTGTGGCTAAGGAACCCTTCTCTCTCTCCACATGTAGCAACCACAGAAATACTGAACAGTGTTAGGAACCACGGCTACCTTACAACAAACAGAAGATACCCTCCAATGAAAGCATTATTAAAGGAAAGTACTGGTTATGGAGAGGACTGTGACGATGTTGTGAAGAATGACCATTATATTTGAGAGCTACATGGCTAGAACAACCAGATGCACACTAATAGTGGACATAAAGGGAGAACCAGTTGTAGCTTAAAGTCAGTCTCTGTTTCTATCTATCCTGCTTTATAATAGGAATTCTAATGATGCTTTCTCTTTAAACAAATTTACTCTTAAAGAAGTAATTTTTCCAAATGAGAAAAACACTTCCACATGTTACTTCTATACTAAAATTAAATATGCTCTCTTGTTCAGTGTCTTGCTGGTCAAACCAGACTACATGACAATATCCATATCAAGACTACATATAATCCATTTATTTCAGAAGGACTTGAGCACCTACTATATTCCAGGTCTGCCAAAGAGGCTGTGAACAAAGCAGTGGACAATACCAAGTTCCTGCTTATGGTGGATCAAATTCTGGCCCCATCTTAGGCTTCATGTCACCTGTGTCTAACACTGGGGAGTAATGGCATTACTCACTCTGTACATGCAGCTCGTTGGCCTTGGTCACCAAGGACACTAAGTCACAAGTTGTTTGCACAGCAGCTCGGAACCGATCTAGCCCTCCCTTCTGTGAAGTAGGAGCTAGTTTAGGATGGGGAACAGTGTGTGCCAAAAGGTGGTCTAAATAACGAGCAACTTCATCACCACAGCAAGCTGCAAAGTTAGTTGGGGAAGGGGAAGAGACAAAAATGAACATCTTAGTTACTTCAAAATCTACCCAGTAGTCAGAATTACTGGCTCTTATACATAAAACATTATTTCTGTGTTTTTTTCCATGGGAAAAAACTTAGGATTATTGTATAACCCTACAGATTGATATTTAGAGCCTACAGCCATTTACTGGGACCCACCTGCTCTTCAATTTTGCTGAGACACAGGTAAAATTACTGAAAGCTTAAAGAAGTGATGGTTTGTTGTTCTAGAACAAGTAGATCAAGTATTTCATAATTTCTCTGTGTTGTGATGGTAGTGGTGGCAGAAGGGGGACAACAGTGGAGAAGGACAGGACAGGCCCCTTCAAGTCCTACTAGTAGAAAGAGACTTTTGTGGAGAAAGATCAGGGAAGGATAAAAATCTTCCACTAAATACTGAGTTAGTTGTAAAAACAGTCTACAAATACTAGTTCTAATGACTAACATAAAAGCATCTTTACATGCCACTGGTAAAGAAAGGCCTATCGGTCACAATTTGCCTTTTTAAGTTACCTCTATTTATTTATTCACCAAATATGTATTGTTACAGTGGAGCAGGAAGTGTCCTAGGCATTACAAATTGTTGTGGAAATAATATAGTTTCTATTCTCTTGGGCTTACCCCCTGCCACACATCGTATAGGTGTATGGTTTGTGGGCCACATGCAGCCAAGGATAACTATGAATAAGATCTGATACAAAATCATACACTTACTCAAAACATGAGGGTTTTTTTTACTCTATTGCATGATTCTTGAGCATGAACTTAGTAGATGATGACATCATGTCACAATTCCCAAAAGTTGGACACACCTATAATTATCTCAGCATACAGATATGGAAATGTCACACTTTAATATGAACACTCATAATGTATACAGTTAGGGAAGTGCTGGTCAGTACCAAAGCTGGCTAAGTCAGTCATGCATCATCACTTCTGGACAATCTTCAGTGACTTCTTCAGAAGTCCCTCTGTGATCTGATGTGACTAATTGGAACTAGCAGAGCTGTAAGAATTGAACTCAAATTCAATGACATCCTGGTGACAGATAATTTAGCTTTGACCTATAATACTGATAATCAATTAGAGGGATATCAGTTTCATTTCATTTTCAAAATAGTTTATGCAAAAGAAATACTAAGCAAATAAAGAGATATAAAGAGTAAATGTTGAGTCCAAACAAAAATCAATACTTAGTACTTCTAATGTGTTGGCTTACTTTGAGATTACTCTTGTTAGTATCTTAAGATAGATGATACCAGTCAAATATTCAGACAACAAAAGCCAAGATTTAGATAGTTAGATGAACCATTCTCTTATAGAAAATTCTTGTTTGAAGATTCAAACAATGTAATTTTTGTCTTGCAAAGGTCAGTACTTTTGCATTGCAGTCAGTGTTTCCTAGTCATCTTAAATCCATGCTATCAGAATGCTTTATTGTGCATCATGTTTATAGCCTTAGCATTGATTATATGCATTATTTGTCTCATTTGTCACATAAAAGCCACAGGCATTATAAAAAGGCCTTTTCAAACTACAGAGACCTCTACAAAAATATCAATGCATGTCTCTTAAACTATATAAAATACAATTCCTTGAATTATATGAAATTTTAAATATAACTCTAACCAAATTTCATATTTTATGCTTCTTAATGCCAAAAGTAATATATAAATATGTGTGTATGTATGATGTTTTCAACTGCACTACTAATTAAATTTTTTACTTACCATTGTTTCTTCCCATTTCAAATTACCAGCTACTTCAAATGTTCATGAAAGAAATCCACCCTAATCTTAGTAAGGCACAGTCAACCCCATACTCCACAATCAGTCACCACAGAGATATTAGACCAGAAACCACAGAGAAAAGCGAAGCCAAACAAAAGTAGAAATCTAAATGTATTAAAGAGGAGTGATGATGCTGTACTATGAGATTGCTGGAAACATGAGTTATTAATGATGAAGCTAAACAATCATTTGTATTCTTGTCCAGCCAGCTAATGCTTTTTAAGGCCTCCTTACCATTACCTGTTGAATCATAGTTATCCATCCAGTTGCCTGATTCCAGCTCATCATAGTCTTCATCATAATCTTCACTGTACAGCTTACCCTCAGGTCCAGGGTCCATGAAGCTTAAGTGTGTGCAGCAAGATGTTGTCAAAAACTCTGACAATTTACCTGTCTGGATCCTTACAATTACAGGGTAGATAGAAAACAGTAAATCAGGGAACATCTTTTTATAAGATATACAAATAAGTCACAATTGTCAATAAAATAAGGCTTGGCATGTTTTAACATGTTAGGGACAAGATTTTAAAAGAAAGACCACTAATTAGAGCTCACAATCCTCCAACAGATTATTTTTACTCTCTTCCATTGCTGTACACTATGCTGAATGTCTGGTAAAACACTGCATTAGCTATTAGAAAGGTAGATAGAGAATGAAGATAAATCATATAAATCTATCAAGTCATTAAAAAATACCACTGGGGCTAAAGAAACTGCTAAGTGGCTTAGAGCACTGGCTGCTCTTCCAAAGGACCTAGGCTCAATTCCCAGCACCCAAATGGTAGCTCACGACTGTCTGTAACTCCACTTCCAGGCAATCTGGTACTCTTGTTACAGCCTCTGTGGGAATCATGCATGCACACCGTGCACAGACATACAGGCAGGTAAAACTCTCATACACATAGAATAAAAATAAAAAGAAATCTTAAAAGTTCTAAAATATCAACAAAAGACCATTTTGGACATACACAATATTTTAAATTTTTATACATTGTAATAAATTAAGTTGAATCATATCATTCTCTACTTAATAAGCCAATTACAAAACTTCAAATGAATTTAGTAGTATCAGTTTTCTAAAGAAGCCAGTTTAAAGGGGCTACCAAAGGCCAGACTTTGGATAATTTGAAAAATGAAAGAAATAACAGGAATGGGTCGTGATATATTGAATAAAATAAGAATCCAAAGAATATATATTAATAATAAACCACAAAATAAGGTAATTTTTATATATAAGAATTCCAAATAATAGTAACATTGTCAAAGTGAGCATTGGTTTACATGTGTGTATACAGACAAATTTCTAGAAGGCTATTTTACAACTCAGTAATAGTTCCTCTATGCAAGAATCAATGGAATCAGACACTCACGTGCCTCTGGAGATGGTATCTTGAGAAAGACAGTGAATTCTTCTAACTGTGTTTGTTGTCTCAGCATCTATCTGAATCTAAATTTAATTTTCTCATCTGATAAGCGGGGCTCAAAAATTATTGACAGTTTGTTGTGCTACATCTCCCCTGCTCAGGGTACAGGTCACTTACCTTGCCCCACCAAAATAGCCATCCTGCATTTTTAGGAGTGCTGCCAAGATGCTTGAATTCAAGCTGGTTCCATTTTCATCTTAAAAGGGAAAGATTTTACAAACAATGTTTGTTGTTTTAACTTAGAAGTAGGGGAAAATCTTTCAGTTATTTCAAACCAACATTGTACGATGAGACACCCCTTATTGAACACCTGTGCTTCAATGATTAATGTGAGGATCAACATCACTGTAGAATGGTCAAATGGTAAAGATTAAGTTCTTCAAAGGCATTATTTTTATCACAAGTAACCAGCACTGTTAACAACATCAACTATTTATCAAATGTTTATGACACAGGCTATTGATAAATCAGCCTGCCTCCATCTTAGGCTTGAAAGCTGTCTTACAATAAAAATAAACTAGGTTCATTCCTGTTTATGACTAAATCTCTGTTTGCAAAAGACTGGGCTATGGTCCACTTGTATCCTTAACTACAAATGGCTCTATACTGCCTATTCCAGGAAACAGCAACCATGTCTTTGTTTCAAAAAGTTGGGTTTTTCGTTTTAGTTTCAGTTTTTCAAGACAAGTTTGCTCTGTGTAGTCCTGGCTGTCATGGAACCTCAAACTCAGAGATCTGCCGCCTTTGCCCCTCAAGTGCTCAGATAAAAGGTGTAGTTCACCATTGTCTGGCTTCAAAGACTTTCTATGACCATCTTGCAACCTTACCTTTGTTTCAAAGGTTGTGATGGCAATGCTGTTATGACCATTTGTAAAGATCCTCCTGTAATCCTGCCTATCTGCCTGCCAAATACCCCATCTGGAAACCCCCAACCCTTGAACTATAAAAACTCTTATCTTGCCATGTCCATGTCTCGAACTTCACCTTAGGGGGAGGCAGCCCATGTACACGAATAAAACAACTTGCTTTTTAGTTAATTGCTTGCTTTAATTAACTTGGCCATGATGATTTGGGTTGGTGGTCGTTCTCCTTGAATCATTGGGATTAGATTATGATAAGCATCTCATAGATGGTATCTTAGTGTTTCTATTACTGCGACAAAAGAACATGATCAAAAAGCAAGTTGGGGAGGTAGGGGTTTACTTGGCTTACACTTCAGCATTGCTGCCCAGTCACTTAAGTAAATCAGGACAGGAACTCAAACAGGGCAGGATCCTGGAGGCAGAGCTGATGTAGAGGCCATGGACAAGTGCTGCTTACTGACTTGTTCACTATGGCTTGCTCAGCCAGCAGGCTAGGGATGGCTCCACCCACCATAGGCCCTTCCCCCATAGATCACTAATTGAGAAAATGCCTTAAAGCTGGATCTCAAGGAGATGTTTCCTCAACAGAGGCTCTCTCCTCTCTGATGACTCTAGCTTGTGTCAAGTTGACACATAAAACCAGCCAGGACCGGTACAGGTGGGGTCTCTCTCTCTCTCTCTCTCTCTCTCTCTCTCTCTCTCTCTCTCTCTCTCTCTCTCTCTCTCTCTCTCTCTCTCTGTACATAAAATCTTCTATAAGGGTAATAATTATCTGGTTTTTATATGAAACTGATGATAGTCTTGAGATTTGCTTTTTCTATTTTGTTCTTTCTAATAGCACTCAGGAGGCAGAGGGAGGAGGGCCATGAGTTCAAGGTCAGGCTGGTCTACATAATGAGTTCCACAATAGTCTGGGCCATATAGTGAAACTGTGATTCAAAAACACAAAACAAAATGACAAAAAAACCAATAAAAGCCAGACACAGTGGTGCACATCTGTAATCTCTGTACTTGAGAGGCAGAGGCAGGAAGATCAGTAGTCCAAACCCAGCCTTAGCTATATATCAAGTTTGAAGACAGTTTAGGCTACATATGCTGTGGAATAATCCTTCTGTATACTGTGAAGATGTGTTGCTCTCATTGTTAATAAAAAGCTGATTGGCCAATAGCTAGGCCTGGTTTTTGAGGTAGAGAGAATGCTGGGAAGAAGGAGAGCAGTGAAACTTAGGAGTTGCAAAAGCAGCAGGAGATGAACTTGTACTGAGAAAAGGTACTGAGCCATGTGGCAGAACCTAATAAGAAATATGGATTAATTTAAAATGTAAGAGTTAGCTATTGGCTGAGTATTTATAATTAATAATATGTCTCTGTGTGGTTATTTGGGGGAGTGGCTGGTCAGCAGTCTAGATGAAAAACCCTAACCCTACATATATAAGACCAAATCTTAGAAATCAAACAGGGTAAGTAAAATTGCTCAGTGGGGGAAAACACTTGCTGCCAAGCCTTATGACCCGAGTTTGATCCCTGGAACACACATGATAGAGAAGACCAACTTCTGCAAATTGTCTTCTGACCACCACATAAAAGCCATTACATGTACACACATGTGCACATGCACTAAATACAAAATACATAAAACAATCAAAATGAGAATAAATACATGTAATAAAATAGATAGGCACAGTGGTTAATGCCTGAAATCTCAGCATTTGGGAGACTGAAGCAGGAAAACTATAGTTCAAACCAGCTTGGTGAGATTCAAGCCAGCATAGTCCATAGAGTAAAACTGTCTCAAAAGAATTAAAGAGCAAAAAGAAAAGAAAGAAACTCAAATTTAACAAAATAAAATGACTTTTGTATCATCCTTTTCTATTTTTAATATAACCAATGCAGGGTATTATCTCTTCATCTCACATGTGCATTAATTTCCTTGATGTCAGTCTACTCTAATGACGGTATTACTTAAGGGTACTGTCACCAACTAATACCCTCTCAATACAACTCATTTCATGTCACTCCTTACTAAAAACATTTGAAAGCTTAAATTTCTTCTATTACTTGTTTTAAATGTCTCTGATTATTTTCAGAGAAGTTTTCCTAATCTGATCCTACCTTACTTTGCCAGTTTTGTTTACCATAGTACTCTAATCTGTTCAGGTTGGTCTCTTTAGCAGGCTCACATATAGGCTCATCCCTCTGTCCAGGCATCATTCATGCCATACCCTACCTCAGTTAAGATCCCATTCTTCTTTCCTCCTCCTATGTTAATATTAACAATTCCATGGGCAGGAAAGATGACTCGGTAGATAAGGTCATTTGTTGGTCTTGTGGAAGACCCAGGTTCTGGTCCCAGCACCCACATAAGGTGTTTCACTAAACCTGTGCCTCTAGCTCCTGAGGATCTGACACCCTCTTTTGACCTCTGTGGACACATGCTCAAGTGTGCACTCACATATATTTTTAAAAATCTTGTTTAAAAACAAAAACCAAAGCCGGGCAGTGGTGGCACATGCCTTTAATCTCGGCAGAGGCAGAGGCAGAGGCAGAGGCAGAGGCAGAGAGGCAGAGAGGCAGAGGCAGAGAGGCAGAGAAGCAGAGGCAGAGGCAGAGAGGCAGAGGCAGAGGCAGGTGAGTTTGAGACCAGTCTGGTCTACTGCAAGAGTTCTAGGACAGCCTCCAAAGCCACAGAGGAACCCTGTCTTAAAAAACAAACAAACAAACAAACAAACAAAAAAGTAAGCTCAAAAGCCTACGTCCCACATCAGCTAAAATTTCTTTTTTGGCACCCTGATAGCTTTCAGTATTTTAGTACTCTGTAACATACTCTCTTGAATTTGTCTACAATTATTATTACCTATCAACTTTGCCTTACAAATTAAACTGTACACTATCTCAAGCAATTGTCAGAATACATTAGCAAGCAATTGTTAGAATACATTAGTTATTAAATGGACTTGTTAATTATTCCAAGTAAAGAAAAAAGACAAAAGAACAAAGACTACCCTACTTTCTTAGCTCCTGTTATTTTGTAGCCTTTTCAAATGTGACCAAAATTCCTACCAGTCTGTCTGGATTTTGAATGATTCATGATAAAGGGTTCTTTTTCATGAAAAGGAATTCTATGCTCTTTGGCAGTACACACAGACCTTTGGAAGCAACAGCAGAGACACAGAAAGAAAGCAGCAGGAACTCAGAACAATAAAGTCTTTCCTTCTAAGGAAGCATCTCTCCCTGCCCCCAATACAAACCAAAAATCTTGGCACTCTCTGCTCCCAGATCTCATTTATTCAGTAAGACAGGCTTTGGAAGGAGAAGCTTGGGAACTTCATTATAAATCTTGATGCTCCATTGAAATAAAATAGACCTCTTTAAAAAGAACTGTTGAATACAATATTTGGAAAACTCACTCAGAAAATCAATTATATAAAGCTAGTATCTGCTCCAGTTTTTTACATTATGGTTCTCAAATCATGTGACATAGTCTTATGCTTCCATTTGTTTCATATTTATCATCTGTCTTCACCTCCTAAAACGTAAGCTTAAACAGAACAGAAACCTTGCCTGCCTATCACCCTGTGTGTCCAGAGCTTAGAAAACTGTCACAAAAGGTAAGCTGGTGAGTTCTGCTCTACAGTGGGATGCTGAAGGACTACACATGACTTATTTCACTCATTCCCTTACCAAGCATGGTGTGTGAGATGGGGAAAGTGATGGTAGGCTGGCCCGTCATCCTCCAACGGCTACAGAGGTAGGAGAGGTCTGTTCTAAGCATCTCTACTATCATCTTGTTGTCCAGAGCAAAGTAAAACTGTTGCTGGTCTATAAACTGAATAAAAGAAAACAACCATTCAGAAAAATTTGCTTTCACAAATAGCAAATGATATTTTTCAATGTTCACTTAGTCATAAAGCATATATGTCACAGAGGAAACAGTATTCTCAAATTCAATGCCTAATAATTCCCAAAGTATGTGGTGGTCAGTGGTATGCACAACAATAGTTTCTGATATTTTTTTCTTTTTTTTTGATTTTTTGAGACAGTGTAGCTTTAGTTCTCCTGGAACTCACTCTATAGACCAGGCTGGCCTCGAACTCAGAGATCCACCTGCTTCTGCTTCCTGAGTACTGGGATTAAAGGCATGTGTCACCACTGCCCAGCTAGTTTCTGATATTTTTAAAGTGGTGACTGCCTACAAATCTTTTCAAGTATATAATTTCATTTAATCCTGTAACCACCTAGTGTAGGAGCTCCCCTTTCCCTCCTCCTTTTCTTCCTAATCTCTTAATTTGTAGCCTAGGCTAGCTTTGATCTCATAATGCCCCTGCTCTATAATTCCTGAGTTCTGGGATTACAGGCATGCACCACTATTCTCAGCTTGTCATTTTTCTTTTAATATGAAGAGTAAGACTCAGAGACAACATGTGGACTAGCACACACATTTGATTAGCAAATGGAAAAGTTAGAAATAGAGACTAGAATCAGTTCATCTTTTGTTTATGCCTATCTTAGATGCACTGTGTTAAATAAGACAGAATTAGATTTCTTCTTCCAGAAAGTATTTACTGTACTTCTAGAGATTAAACCTTGGGCCTTGTGCATGTTTAGCAAAAACTTCACCATTAAACTCCATCTTCAGCCCTTGATTGAAACAGAATATTCCTATGTAGCTTATACACTGACCTTGCTAACCATGTTGCTCAGGTTGGCTCTAAATACATTACCCTGTCTTCCTAAGCACTGGGATTATAAGCATGTGACACCATGCCTAGCTTCCTTCACAGAAAATAATTTTTACTACCATACATATATGCAATTGATCTTAGATCTATTATTATGTAGCTAATAAATATCAGGCCACCAATATGTTATGGCCTAATAGCCCTGATATTTTTCTTTAAAAGAGGGAATTGAACATTCTATGCAAATGAAAGGGCTCCTTCCCAATAGGAAATAATTTAGCAGTTAAATAAAATAGTGTGTTTCATTCATAAAGGACAAATATAACTTCTGAAAATGAGGAAAATTCTCTAAGTATCTGAACATTTGGAAAATCCCAGTCACAGTTTAACACCCAGGACTACTCTTGGTAGTGACAGTCACTTGGCAAAGCTCTATACAGCAAATTCCATTCAGTTCAATTCAACAGTTACTGAGCCATTTAATATATGCAAGGCCCTGTGAGACTGTGACTAATCCAATCCCAGAAAATGCTTTATTTCTGCAGTCTCTCTCCCTCATATTTCCATCTCAATGCATGTTGCAGCTTATCCCACTCACCTGTGGAGTGAAAGTAAAGATTGTTTTGCGAATGTCATAGAGTTTTGATGTTCCAAGCACACCCATGAGCCTGTAGGGTCGGCCACTGAGTTTCATTTTACTGTTGCAACCTGACACAAAATTGAGAAATGGTCAGGATATTCTGAGTGTACAAATTAAGGCACTATTTGTTTATACAGCTACACACAATGTATGTATATACATAGACACACATCTATCACATTTGCAACAGGTTAAGGTGTTTTCCTTTTGCCGGGCTTTGGTGGCGCGCACCTTTAATCCCAGCACTTGGGAGGCAGAGGCAGGTGGATCTCTGTGAGTTCGAGGCCAGCCTGGTCTACAGAGCGAGTTCCAGGACAGCCTCCAAAACAATACAGAGAAACCCTGTCTCGAAAAACCAAAAAAAAAAGGTGTCTTCCTTTTACAGTTTATCTTTCTAAAATTGGAATCTATCTTGCAATCTGTATCTATGTTAAATATATTACATATATTACTATAAATATAAAACTATATTAAGTAAAGTTTTAGATACAATCAGGGAATTGTTCACTGACGAATTTTTCCTATCACCAAAAGGGAAAATACTTTACATATTGTTCTAAAAATGTTTTCCTCCCAAATACTTTGAATATCCTTTCTTGTCAGCACCAATAGAAAGAACCTTTACTACATGTTTCTGGCTATAACGTATTTTCATGAGTACTTGATTTGTTATCTTTACCAAATATGCTGCCTTTTCATGAACATGTGTATGAATACACGTGCAGGCCAGTGGAAATTTTCAGGTGTCATCCTCAGGAATATCATTCATCTCCTTTTGAGTTCCAGTTTCTCATTAACCTAGTCCACTAGACTTGCTGGCTAGTGATCCCCAGGATCCTCCTGTGGCAGCCTCCCCACTGCTGGAATTACAAGCATGCATACCATTCCTGACATTCTTATGTTTATTCAGGGGATCAAATCAGGTCCTCATGATTGCAAGACAAGTGTTTTGCCAATTGAGTCATTCCCCCCAACCCCTAAACATGCTGCATTTTCAGAGTTGCTTAATTTATAAGAGAGCAGACCAGAGAATACTTAATTCCAAATTCCTCTGAATAAAACACAAATTTGCTCTGGGATTACTATCAAAACCAGGTTTATTCATGGATTCTTACTAGTAAAATCTTAACTATTATTGAATATGGTGTGTGTGTGTGTGTGCATGCATACATGTGCACACATACTCATGATATGACACATGGAGGTCAGAGGGCAACCTTTATAGCTGGTTCTTTTCACTTTGAGATTCTAGGATTAAACTCAAGTCATCAGGCTTTTGTGGCTAGTGCTTTTACCTGCTTAGTCATCATGTTGGCCTTTGCTAGTATCTTTTTTATCACACTAAAATATATGTAACATAAAATTTATCATTTTAGTAATTTAAGAGTAAAGTTTAGTGCTGGGCATTGGTGGTGCACGCCTTTAATCCCAGCACTCGGGAGGCAGATCTCTGTGAGTTTGAGGCCAACCTGGTCTACAAAGCGAGTTCCAGGACAGTCTCCAAAGTCCCAGAGAAATGCTGTCTCGAAAAAAAAATAACTGCTTTATTTCACTCAGCACAATATCTTTGAAGTTCATATATGCCATAGCACACGATAGAATTTCCTTCCTTTTTAAGGTCAAATATTCCATCCTATGTATATGCCTCCTTTGCTTCTCTATTCAATTGTTGATAGATTATTTGGAGTGTTGTCATTTTTTGGCTATTGTAAATAATACCATACAATAATGAAGAAAATACCTATACCTAATCAACCTCCTCATTTTGTTTCCTTTTGGGTATAGACCTAGAATTCCTGACTCATAAACCAATTCTTTTTTTTTTTTGGCTTTTTGAGACAGGGTTTCTCTGTATTGCTTTGGAGCCTGTCCTGGACCTTGCTCTATAGACCAGGCTGGCTTCAAACTCACAGAGATGCACCTGCCTCTGCCTCCCGAGTGCTAGGATTAAAGGCGTGTGCCACCAACTCCCGACTTCATATACCTATTCTATATTAAACTTTAAAACTTTATTTTTTGGTTGTGAGCCTAGCCTTTAATGGCTAGCCATCTCTCCAACCCTAACTTTAAAACTTTAAAAAAGAGTTATTTTTTTGTTTTATGTGTACAGGTGTTTTGTGACTCCAGCATCAAAAGAGGCCACAAGAGGGCATTGGACTGTGTGTGTGTGTGTGTGTGTGTGTGTGTGTGTGTGTGTGTATAAAACAATTATAGAAATAAAAGTCATAGACTTGAGAGGGAGCAAAGGGGTGCATGGGAAGGGTTGGAAGGGGGGAAGGGAGAAAATTATGAAATTGTGTTTTAATTTCAAAACTATACAAGTTTTTTAAAAAGATTAAGAAAGAAAAAATGTAGTACTAGTAAAGACAAAACAGTAGTCTATATAACCTCAAGGTAACATACACATGTGAATCAGCATGTGCATGTGAACAACAGAGATGTCATTTAAAGACTATGAACTGTTTAAAAACTATATGAATAATTAAGTGAGTAGTGCTTGAATAACTTGTTGGTTTTTGACAAAAAAGTTAGATTTTTCACCTTAAAAGATCCGTTTTAAATTTATCTTACAAGTTAAAAGTAGGCCTGGCATGGTGACACATGTCTTTAATCCTAGAACTCGGGAGGCAGAGGCAGGTGGATCTCTGAGTTGAAGGCCAACCTGGTCTACAAAGCAAGTTCCAGGACAGCCAGGGCTGTAACATGAAGAAACATCTTGAAAAAAACCAGGAGAAAAAAGTTAAATGTAAAATTATAAACATAAATAACTAGAATAAAATGTAATGAAACAGATCTGACCTAGGACTGAGCCTATTTTTCTCAGTATGAAAGCAAAGATAGAAATGAAAAAGAAAAAAACATTTGCTACATACACACATTAGACTTAGTTGAGCATGGTGGGGGTGGGGGTAATCTGAGTACTTATGAGGTAGAGGCAGGAGGATTATCTGAATTTCAAGGCCAGACTGGTATACATAGTGCAGCTTGGGTTACAGTGAGAGACATGCTCAGAACAAAACTGAAGTTTCAGGACAGCCAGAGTGTGGTAGTTTGAATGTAACTGGCTTCCATAAGCTCATATGGAGTTGTATTATTTTGAGGTGTGGCTTTGTTGGAGGAGGTATGACCTTGTTGGAGAAAGTATGTTACTGAAGGGGTTGGGTTTTGAGGTCTACTTTGCTCAAGCTTCCCTAAGTGTGACACTCAGACCACTTCCTGTTGCCTGCAGGTCAAGATGTAGAACTCTCAGCTCCTTCTCCAGCAGCCTGTCTGCCTACATGTCACCATGTCACACCATGATGATAATAGACTAAACCTCTGAACTGTAAATAAACCACCACAATTAAATGTTTCCCTTTATAAGAGTTGTTGTGATCATGGTATCTTCACAGCAACAAAAACCCTAACTAAGGCACAGAGCTACACAGAGAAACCCTGTTTTGAAAAACAAAACAAAAAACCCATAGAAACCAGCAAGAAAATTTAAAGTCTATTTCAAAAACAACAATAGAATGAAATTGGCAATTTAAAAATAGATGGAAAAATTACAATTTATGAAAACAAGTTAATCAAAAGCTCATCAAAAAATTCCTAAGAGCCCCAGTGCTTAAGTGCTTAAGGTGATTAGGGCCCTGCTCTGAGCCCCAACTCCCTGCATCCCCTGGCTCCATATCCCTGGGCGTTTTTCTGTACCTAGAGAGGACCTGCCCCCCCTCCGAAGGAGCACCCTGAATCTGCCCACACCTCAGTCGTCAGTGTCTTCCAGTTCTTTCCCGGCTCTTAAAGTACTTAAGATGAATGAGGGCCCTGCTCTGAGCCCCAACTCCCTACATCCCACAGCTCCATATCTCTGGGTGTTTCTGCGCCTAGAGAGGACCTGCACCCCCCGGAAGGATCACCTTGAATCTGCCCACACCTCAGTCTTCAGTGTCTTCTGGTCCTTTCCCCGTCCTTAAGGTGAGTAGGGGCCCTGCTCTGAGCCCCAACTCTCTACATCCCCCAGCTCCATATCACTGGGCATTTCTCCACCTAGAGAGGACCTGCCCCCCCACCGAAGGAACTCCCTGAATCTGCCCACACCTCAGTCTTCAGTGTCTATGGGTCCCTTCCTGGCTCTTAAGGTGCTTAAGGTGAGTGGGGGCCCTACTCTGAGCCCCAACTCCCTACATCTCCCAGCTCCAGCTCCCTGGGTGTTTTCTGTGCCTAGAGAGGACCTGTCCCCTGGAAGGATTGCCCTGAATCTGCCCACACCTCAGGCTTCAGTGTCTTCTGGTCCTTTCCTGGTGCTTAAGTGCCTAAGTGCTTAAGTTTCTTCCTGCTGCTTAAGTACCCTCTGGTCTCCGCCCTGTGCTTGAGAGTGTACCAAAACCAACTGCACCCATTGAAGTATTGGACCTGTTTGAATGCACTGGAAAGGATCCTTAGACCCAAACCCACCAGGAGAGGAAGAGACCCCACGAGCTCCCACTGAAAGAAAGGATGGGAAGAAGGCAATATAAAAACTCAGCTAACAACAGAAGAACCAGTATGACACCACCAGAGTCTAGAAACTCTGCACCAGCAAGACCTGAACATACCAACACAGACGAAACAGAAAAGAATGACCTTCAAAACAACCTCCTAAAAGTGATAGAGGCCTTCAAAGAGGATATGAGAAAATCCCTTAAAGAAATGGAAGAAAACACAAACCAAAAAAATGCAAGAAATCAACAAATTTCTTAACGAAAGTCAAGAAAAAGCAATCAAACAGATGAAGGAAACAATTCAAACAGTTCAAGACCTCAAAACCGAAATGGAGACAGTAAGAAAAACACAAACTGAGGTAATGCTGGAAATTTAAAGGCTGAAAAAAAAAAACAATCAGGAACTACAGATGCAAGCATAACTAACAGAATACAACAAATGGAAGACAGAATCTCATGCACTGAAGATAAACTAGAGGAAATAGACTCATCGACAAAAGAAAGTCATAAATCCAATAAATCCTTAACACAAAATATCCAGGAAATATGGGACACCGTGAAAAAACCAAATCTAAGAATAATAGGTATAGAAGAAGGCTAAGAAG